AAAAAGAAGCAGCAGCAAAACTTTCTCTCGCTCACTCCACATCCAGCACCCACCCACCCACAACCCTCTCCGAGATATCTACCTATCGTACACGCCTACGCCCACGCCCACCCCACACCACTACCCTCACCCTCTCTCACCCCGCAAGCCCCACGCCCAGCTCCTCAGGCCGGTGCTCGACGGCCGGATCGCCCGCGGCGTCGAACGCGGCCGGCGGGCCCGACATGCCGTGGTGCTGGTGCTGATGCTGGTGCTGATGCTGCAACGAGGAGGCGGGCAGCGGGGCGTGGTGGTCATGGTCGTCGTCGTCGTCGTCCATTTCGTCGTCGCCCTCGTCGCCGCCTTGATGTTGCTGCTGGTGCTGCTGATGCTGCGCAGCGAGCACGCCGCTGCCGTTTGCCTCGTCGCGGTGGCCGAACGGACCCTCCGCTGCACCTGCACGCTCTGCCGCTTTGTGCCTCTCCGCATCCGCATCCGCATCCCCATCGCCCACCACAGCCACAGCCACACCCATGTCACCAACACCAAACCCCCGGCGCCACTCCGCCTCCCCCTCGCCCACAACCTCCAGCCCCCGCGAAACAGACACGTCCGCCTTCAACGCCTCGAGCAGCTCCGCCCCCTCTTCCGCCCTCAACAGCCCGTCGCGCCGCCCCATGCGCCCCAGCTCCGCCTCCAGCACGTTCTCCAGCGCCAGCTCCTTGGCGACCCACTCGGCGCGACGGCGGCGCTCGAGGCCCTCGCACTCGGCGCGCAGAGCCTCGGCTTCGCGCTGGGCCCAGGCGGCTTGTCGGCGGAGGAGGCGCGCCAGCGACGCGGGCGGCAGCGCCAGCTCGGCCGGGCTGAAGTGTATGTCGTGCGGGAAGCGGGGCGTGCGCGGGGCGGGCGGCTCGCCCGGCTCCGGCGCCCGGAACGTGATGTTGTTGTGCTCGTACTCGGTCTCAGCGGGGGGAGGGGGCGGGGGCGGGAGCGCGGCGGCGGCGGCGGCGCTGGGGGACCCGGGGAGTGGCGAGCCGGGCTTTTCGGGCGCGGAGATGCTGTTGCTTGCGCCGGGCGTGCTGCCGGTTTTGAAGACGAGGCGCACGCGCTGGTTCTTGTTCGAGGGGTTCGACGAGTGGTGTTTGGGGACGGGGTCCGAGGGGCGCAGCGCCTCTGTCTCGTGGACGGTGCGCATGTGCTTGGCGAGGGCGTCGGAGCGGGTGAAGGCGCGGTCGCATTCTGATGGATGGAGTTAGTTGGCGTTGGACGCTTCAATGGGAAAGAAAAACGTCACGCACCAGGCAGGGTGCAGTAAAACGGCTTCTCGCGCGTGTGGCTGCGCATGTGGGCGCGCAGGGCGTAGCCACTGGCGTGCGGGATGCCCTTGCGCGAGCAGTCGCTCCACTCGCACGAGTATTTCTTCTGGCGGGTGCCGATGTGGTCGTCGTGGAGATGCTCGACCAGGCGGTCCATGTTGCCCAGGTCGCCGGCATCGCAGCCCTCCCACTTGCACACCGTGACCTGCTCTTGCCCCAGGCTCTCCTCGTCCTGCATGGCGCCGAAGCCGCCTCCGCCACCCCCGCTTCCCCCTCCTCCTCCTCCTCCGCCGCCGCCGCCGCTCCCGCCTCCGCCCGGGTGGTTCGGCGACGCGGGCACGCTGCCCTCGGTGTCTTCGGAGATGTACAGGTCGGCGTCGCCACCCACGCCCACCGACGAGGCGGGCCCCGTGGTGCGCTGGCGCTTGGCCGGGCGCAGGCTGTCGTGCTCGGCGTCGTGGTCGTGGAACGTGTCGACGCTGAGCGAGCGGTGGTCCTCGGTCTTGACGTCCTCGGGGAAGTCGTCGGACGAGAGCTCCGACAGCGGCGAGCCGGGCGAATCCATGGCGCCGTGAGGGTGGTGATGGTGATGGTGCTGATGGGCGCGCGCGCTGCTGCGTGAGGTCATGGTGGTAGGCAGGAAGGGTTGCGCGCTGTGTTGCTCCAGCTGCGTGTTGATAGCTGGCTTGCACGAGGGGCCTGTCTCGCCCGCCGCATTTGCTCTACAAGTACAAATTTCGCTGGTTACGGACTTCCACCATCATCACTGTCAAAAGGTAAGCTAGCCACTTCTTCCATTTCTTCCAATTCCAATTCCCCTCGCTTGTGATGAACAAAATAGAATTCTGCAATCCTGAAGGATGTCGCGCTCTGCGTTGCTCCCGAATGTTGATTAATTCTAACACAACTTAACCTGACCTTGCCTGTCACTACTGCATCACGCCTCTGCACTCAGCAGTGTCTAAACCCAAACTAACGCGTTGCTCATTAGATCTCTCCATCTACCCATTGACGTGCGCCATGCCCTCCTTGTGATAGCGGTCGCCCTTGACGGTGACGCGCTTCAAAATCTCGCCCAGAGCAGCCATATCCTCCTCGGACAGGTCGACCTCCGTCAAGTTCTCGACGACGCGCTCCTCGGTCGTGGCACCCGGGATGGGGATGATGGCAGGCAAGCCGTCTCTGCGGCTGTGCTTGCGCACCCACGCCAGCGCCACCTGCGCCGTCGTGCACCCCTTGCGCTGCGCAATGGCCGCGACCTCGTCGGCCAGCTTGAGGTTCTCGTCGAAGCAGTCGGGCTGGAAGCGCGGCGTCAGCCGGCGGAAGTCGCCTTCGGGGATGTCCTCGAGCTTGCGGATCTGGCCCGTCTAGGTGATGCTGGTGTTAGCCTCGTCGTCGTCATTTGTTGCGCTTGACATGCGAACAACTCACCAGGAATCCCCGCCCCAGCGGCGAGTACGCCACTATGGGGATGTTGAGCTCGGCGCACGCCTGCGCGATCCCGTTCTCCAGAATGTCCGTCGTGTACAGGGAGAACTCGACCTCGACAGCAGCGATCGGGTGCACCTTGGCCGCGCGCCTGATAGTACTAGCACTAACCTCCGACAAGGCAATGCCGCCCAGCTTGCCAGCCTTGACAAACTCCGCAATATAGCCGATAGTGTCCTCGACGGGGACGTTGGGGTCGACGCGGGCGCACTCGAACAAGTCGAGGGCCTTCTTGCCGTCCAGCACGCGCAAGCACTCGTTGATGCTGCGGTGGACATTGTCGCGCGAGCCGTCGGGCGCCAGGCCGCCGCGCACCAGCCCGCCCTTGATCGACAGCACCACCTTGTCCGCGTCGGCCGGGTGCGCGTCAAAGTACTCGCGCAGCAGGTGCAGCGAGTTGCGCTCCGGCGTGCCGTACAGCTCGCCGCCGTTCCAGAAGTGCCCGCCCTGCGCTAGTGCCGCCTTCATCGCTTTGAACGCTTGCTCGTTCGGGGGCGGGTTGGGCCGCCATGTGAGGCCTGCGTTGCGTTGCTTGTGTTAGTATTGTCCATCCCATTTGGCACTCGAGCATGCCACGTACCCATGAGCCCAAAGCCCGTCGCCCCGACCTCTTTCCCCAGCAATTGAACCATAGTGATGCGGCGTGCGAGCGTGGGAGCGTTCGAGCGTGGGGACGTAAGAGCGTGTGTAAACAAGTAAACAGCGTCGTGCAAACCACCAACAAAAGCCAAAGCGTGTAGTATGCGTGCGAGAGTGTCTGGAGCAGTGACAAGGCCCACAACAGCCAGCCAGACAGCCGTCCAAAGCACCTTTTATACCCCAGGCCGCGGCGTTAACCCACGCAAGCTCCGCGCTCCATGGTTAGGTGCGCCCTAATTCCGGTCATGACGACTTGCGCTCGACCGCGCTCGACTAAGGTTCGCTGCCCATTGGCCCCCGGAACCTAATCCAGACGGCCTGACGGGCCAGATGGGCCCGGCCCCTTGATTGATGATTGATGACGCTGCGCGCGTCGAGTGCTGTGTATGTGCTACGGGTAGAGTAGTGTGCCCTGGGTGCTGTACCTGCTCTACCTGCTCTAGGCGCGTAGAGTAGAGTAGAGTAGAGCACTCGAGCACGTACGGGCACGGGGGAAAAGAAAGGTGCCTAGGTACCTAGGTAGGTGTTGATGCGTCATCTGTCACCCGTCGTCCGCCATGCAGACGCAGGCCGGGTCTCGAGCTCTCTCTCATGCGCCCCGCGTGCGTTACGTCGACTTGCTTTGCTGTCCACGCACTGCATACCTATTATCCAAGCACATACAAGGCGCGCCGCCCGCAGCCCGTCCTGTCAATGGCACAGTAGAGTATGGCACTCCTGCTCCTACGGACGACGGCGGTGCCTACTCCGTACCTACTCCGTACCTACAGAGGTGGAGATATACCTAAACGCCGCTATCTCCGCGCCGCCCCGCCGCGCGGGGTTTAACTAGCGCCATAGGAGTAGGTACAGTAGTTATGGGCACCACTGGCGGGTATGCACGCAAGGACCCCAGGCGCCGGGCTGCCGGCTGCGGGCTGCCCTGTCCGTACCTACCTACCCCTATGCTCCATAGGTACAGTACCTATGCAGGAACAGGAACAGGCTCGAGACGGAGTTTAGGTAGGCACGGCGGTCCTACTCCTAGGGCAGGATCAGGCCGGTGGGGCGTGGCGTGGTGGTGCCGACGCGTTGGCCGTCTCGTATGTACGAGTAAAAGGATCAAGTGGGTAGTTTCAATGCTATACTGGCTGTTGTTGACTGTTAATTGATGCTGGTGCGGTTTGTTGTTGCTGAGCCGCTTCCTTCTATGGGGATTGCATGGGGTTGACCGTTGGGGGCCGCGTGGTGGGGGACGTGGGTGTGGGTGCTAGATGGATGATGGATGCGCCGATCTTGCGTGGGTGGGGGGTGCGGATTATCGCGTATGTGCGTACGGATGTGGATGCGGATGCGGATGCGGATGAGGCTGTGAGTCTGTGAGGCTGTGAGGTGGGTAGGTGTTATGGAATGGGTTTTGGATGTAAACTATAGGGAGGGTGTAGGTGTAGGATTTGCTGGATTTTATCCTATTTATCCATCACTGCGTCCAACCAAGTCCCTCCTAATTCCCTTAGCCTAACGCAAGAAATCACCGCATCCCCAAGAGGAAGAAAGAGAACCTAGACGAAAGTAAATAGGGAAAAACTGCTGCCAACTAGACGTCAACTACGCATGTGTATATTAAGGTAATCTCAACTCAACTTTAACCCCAATCCAACACTACACAGCACTACAAAAATACCCGATCAAACCCGCCATGCCCATGCCATGCCATCAAACCATGCCGTGCCAAACAATACAAACCAAACCAGTATAAAAAAACGCACCCCATAAACGCCTATCTCCCACCACCATCCTAACCCATACCAACCAATTAACCACCAAACCAAACCCAGCCCCATAGTCCCAGGGAATCCCTCTCCCACACCGCCAATACTTTCTTTATACTAGTCCACACCTGCCTCCGACAACGCCTCGTTGACAATATCCCGCAACACGGGCCTATTGCTCAAAAGCGCCTTCGTCCCCACCTTGCCCCTCTTCTCGGGCACCTTCAACCCCTTCTTACCCGTAGTAGTGCCACCGCTCTTGCTGACCCTGTTCTCCGCGCTCTTAAGCGGCGCAAGCACGTCGCGTTCTTTTTTCTTCCTGGGGCTGACCGCGCTGCCCTTCCTCTTGTGGACCGGGCTCGCGCCACCAAACTCCATCTGCGTCTGCGTCGGCGCCTCATCAAACGTATGCGCCTCGCTGACGCCAGGCGCGAGATCCCATACCCAGCCGTTCGTGTCGCACATTTTGACGAGCTTCCTGAGCGTCTCGTCGCCGCTCGCAAGCGTGGACTTGCTACCGAGGATGACGAGCTTGCTGCGAGCGCGCGTGACGGCCACGTTGATGCGGCGCCAGTCGTGCAACAACTCGCCCACCTGCTGCTCCTCGTTGCTGCGCACACAGTTTACCACGACTATCTCCTTGTCGCGCCCCTGGAACTTGTCCGTCGTATGCACTTCTAGCCCCGAGCGATGTCGTAGAGACCGCCGTAGCAGCTGTAACTGCGACCGGTAAAACGTTATCACACCAATGTCGTCGGCCCCAATGCCTGTGCTCAACAGCGATTCGACGAGCTGAACCGTCAGGCTCGCTTCCAGATTGTTGATTATCCGGGAGCCTGAAAGCGATTCCAAAGAGTCTGGAAGCTGAAGGTCTGTGTTGAGGAAAACGACTTTATTGGCAGGCTGAAGCGTGTGTGCGAGCCAGCATTTGGACGTTGGGCCAAGACAAAGCGTTCCAGATAAGGTCGAGGATGAGCTGAACGGGTTTGATTTGCCATGTTGCGAGGGAGAATGGTACTTCTCCAGAGCAGCAATGTTAGGAACGGCCAGTGCGCGGTCAGCAACAGCCTGATTGCCACATTTGAGCCTGCCGTCGTAGATCAGGTTGTTTGAGAGAGACATGATATCCGCACACATGCGGTACTGGTGCTCTAGACTGACTATTGCTTTTGGTTGCTGTTCGCTAAGGAGCTTGAACAGGCTGATATCCAGACCACCCTCTTGGGCATCTTTGTTTTGGACAAGGGGTGGAAGCTGAAAGTGATCGCCGACAAGAATGAAGCGCCTGGCCATACGAATAGGACCTAGACACACCGGCAAGGTGATCTGTGAAGCTTCGTCGACGATACAGTAGTCGAAAACTCTCCGTTTGAATATCGGATGGTTGATCGTCAAACATGTGGTGGCAACAACAGGCGGATCTTTCCATGAGCGATCCAACTCCTCCATTGAGGCTGTGGGTCGGGCTGCAATGGTGGCGAATTCTTGTACTTCCGGGTGTATCTTAGATTCAGTGCCCAGCCTTAGAATGCCCATCTTGTCATTCCGAATCTTGAGCAGAATGTTGTCGACCGCAGAATGGGTGTAAGACGTCAGGAGAACGCTCTTTCCCTTCGCTACAAGGGCCCGGATGATGTGCGCAATTGTGGTAGTTTTACCAGTTCCGGGCATACCCAGTACTAGAGCATAATCTTGGGCAGAAAAAACCTTTTCTACCGCAGCCTTCTGGTCCGAATTCATTGCCATCTGCGAACCTTGACTCTCCATAGAGTATGCGGTGGGACTATCGTAGAAGACAGGGGCAATTCCGTCGACGATGAGGCCTCGGAGCACAACAGACCTGAAGTCGTTATCATTCATTAACTGAATGATGTTGTTCCGTGCCGCGGCCATCCCGTTGCTAAACTCGTCTTTGTCTAGCCTGTAAAGGATTGGCTCCTCATCCTTGCTGGAGGTTTGAGATGCGACAGGTCCAGTTGTCACATCCATCAACCCAATGAAGGACTGATTTCTTTCCGCGTCAAAGTCGGGTCGCTTTACCCGAGTGTTATGGAGTCGTCGGTCCACGCCTACGGTGATCGTCCGCTTTCCGACATGTGTTACAAAACCGGTTGCAAGAGCGAAATGTCCCTTCTCGTCTGAAATGACTATCGGCTCTCCGGTCGTAATGGTAGATTCAGTGAAGGAGAAACCACTCGGCGCGTCATGTTTGACAAGCGTATATTGGAATCGGTTGATCTTTCCACCATTTGCGCTTTCCACGAAAGATCCAGGCTGAATGACGACATTTGCGAAGCATCTTCCTAGCTTTTCTCTCTCATGGCTCAACAACGTCCACAGTTCGCGGTGAAACTTCTTCATATCCGATTCTTCTAGGGTCAAAAGCGTGTCCCATTTCTGGAAAAAGTCTTGGTGGGAGGGTTTAAGGTTCCGAACGAGTTCATCGAATTTCTTTTTCACAGGACCATCCAGTGTTTCGCCATCTCCGTAGTCAGCGAGTCGATGGTAAAGAAAGCAAGTTTCTTGAGCGTAACATTTGTTACACTCACGAGAGTTAGTGATCATTGGCGGCAACTGGAGGCGTTCTCGGACATAGCAAGCGAGTTCATTGCGTTGGATGATCATTTGGCGAATCTCACGCCAAATAGCCGGTACCAGGTTGATTTCGGAATGGTGTAGGTAAAACAGTACGCCAAAAGTGATGTCAATATCTACGTTCGGGGTCAGTTATCACCCTCCAAAGCAAAGCTGGAGTACATACCGTAGCGATCAGACATCAACAGAGTATACAAGGCTGTTTGAGCATGGTGAGACGGATGAATAGACTTTCCGGTCTTGAGTTCGAAAGGAACAGTGAGTGTTCGCTCGCCGAAACTATCGCTCATCGCCACTTGAACCGAAGCGTCAATATTGCCCTTGAGTCCGTACATGGGCGACCATATGTGTTCTTCAACTTCCAGGAGTTTGTTGATGCTCATTTTTACAGACTTGCCAACTCGTGTTTTGACAAGGGCGTCGGGCTGGATGACTGTCAGTTATAAAATCAAGCCAAAGCCTTTAATTAGGGCCAACTTACACCCGGCTTGGCCTTGACGAATATTTTACCCCACGCCTGCAGCCCTGGAAGTTGGCTCTTCAGGCGGTCGACAATATATCCAACCGTGACATCAATTTCGAGTATTGTTTCAAATTTCCTCGGAACAATTTGTTTGATCCGGTCAACGAGCCAGTCGTGATCCCAGCGGTTGGCTTTTAGCGCTTCTTGAAAAATCTCATGGACGATGGTGCCGATCAGGGAAGCCTCGCTTGAATCACTGGTGGATTTGACACGATCTTGCAATACAGCTTTGCGTATGCAAGCGAAGGAATCCCCGACGGCAGTAGCAGAGATGAGATGATCAGGATGCAGAATGATCATGTTCTGGTCATCGTCCACAGTGCACTGCCCTGTTCGTGTGAAATGCCCAATGACATGGACATAAGACCCAGTTGTACAACGTGTCTCATACCACGACTGGCGAAGAGTGATGGCTTTTGTTAGTTTCATTTTCTCGTCTTCGACCATCAGAACCTGGAGACAGTCAGCCTGCATGTTTGTTGGCTTCTTGAAGTTCATCGACAAACCTTCTCTGGCTGCATATAGCCTCTCTCGGTCTTGTATTGGCCTTCTACCACCTTTGTTACAAGATAACGTTGAATTGTACGGGGAGTCCTGTCGGTTTCACTCTTCGATTCTTAGTAAGCTATATGCGTAAGGGGCTCGATAATTCAAATACGCACGGATTCACCACCGTTTTTCAACGCCTGCGTCGCTGCAAACTCTGCGGCTTCAAACTGCTCAACGTCCAAGTCATCGCCTCCGAATTCGTCGTCTGAAGAATCTACGAGACTGACTTGCACAACGGTGTCCTGATCAGACTGATTCTTGTTTTGTTTTTCTGATGGTGGCGGTGATGCAGCGGGTGCCGAAAGATCAGGTCGCTTGTCATAGAGTGAAGTAATGCTCTCAAGACCAGCAGCAAAATCTTCGTCATCATCTCCAAAACCAAACTCGTCATCGCTGGCTACCACTTCCTGTTTGACGTGTTCATCCTCTATCGTCGCTGTCGTTACAGGCTCCGGTAATGTCGTCTCTTCGCCCTTAAGCGTTGTTTCGGAAGGAAGTTCTGGAATTGACATGGGGTAATTGGGTAGGGTACTGCTAGTAGCCTCTACAGCTTCGAGTAAATCAAGATCGATGTCCCCATCGCCATATTCCGAGGAACTCGAAGGGCTTGGTGTAGCTTTCTCGCCCTTAACTTGAGCAGCTAGTAGGTCCGGTTCCCCCAAGTCAGAATTGACACCGCTCATCTCCTCAATAGGTGGAAGGCGCTGTGTCGGAGTGCCTTGAGGGGCAGAAGAGGGTGCCCCGTTCTCTGGAAACGGTAAAGAACTCGATGGTTCACCAGGAAGATGCTGTCTCGTCGGCTTTACCAAAGTTTCCTGGATTCTCTCGACTAGTGACCCCACTTTGGACACCTTCTGATTAGACGAGCCAGTGATGTCAGTGTTGTTGTTTCCAGCCCTACTAGCCTCCAACGACTCGCGGAACATGCCACCCGTGCGTCTCCTCTTCATCTTGCTTGCTGGCCATTCTAGCCCACAACTTGCCCACCTCCGCAGACCACTAACACTTCCTGCTTCTGCAGATGAACGCGGGGACGAGTCGGTCATCAAGTGAGCAAAAGCTCCTGCTTTGGCGGCAGTCGGAGTACCCTGATTGGCAGTGTTGACCGCGTATCTATTCCACAGGTCCGCAGCTGGGTCGGCTCGCGGTGTCTCCAGATTCATCACATGGTCCTCTGGGCCTCGTTTACCAAAATGATTGTACGCTTCCGGTTGTGACGACGAAGGCGGCGAAGAACTCCGAGCTCTCTTTCGTTTCCTAGCAGGCGTAGCGGCAACCTGCGAACTGTTGGGAGACTTGACGTGCCAGTATATGTGTTCGTCGGGCGACACTGCCTGCACTCCTGGCTCCCTAGCGGCGAAATCGGCGTTCCCTATCAAGTCGGCCAATGGAAGCCTTGTGGCAGGCGCGGGAGTTGTTGGTGGACAGGTCTTGGATTTCTCCAAGGTCGCCACCTGAGGCTTGACGGGGTCTGCTTCATTCTCCTTGTCGGGGTAGTTGTCGGCTGGCCGTCCTTCAATAAACTGAAAAGCCTTCAGCTTGTTCCTCGAGGAATTCGAGGCTTTTATCGGTGGGCCGGTCATGACGGGTTCGCGAGTGTTCTTGTATCTGGTCGTGTGGGCTTCGCCAGCACTACGCGGTCTACATGAGGGACGCGATCTCTGGCAGGCGTGGATCAGTTAACGCGTCATAGAGAGAGGGTGGCGAGGATTGGGTACGCGGTTGCCGTGGTCTTGGTTAAAAAATGATTGCTGGCGCGAAGACATGGTCGAGGCGGGAGGAGGCAGTCGAGGATGACGAGGCGAACGCGCGAAGTTGGACGCGTCGAGGCGCGCGGGTCATCACGTGCGGGAATAAACAAGCCGGATGTGCAGGCGCGGGGCGAGGTTCAACCTATGCAGCTCTGGCCGCAATCGGGTTCGTTGCAACCCCTCAATTAGATCGGTCTTGCCGATTTTTGCCGCCGCGTAAGTCGGTTGTGGAAAGCAGAGGCCGCCGTTGGCCAAAGTTCGTTGCGGCGGCTGCCAAGTGCCGCGCTTATCTTCCCCGGTTCATCAGCCCCATATTCCATCGCACCACACTCCGCGCCTGACTTTCTTTCTGCACTCTCCTTGCTCGAAGCAGTTGCCATCATGTCGACCGAGAAGCCCCTTCCCTTTGGCTACCAGTTTGCCGCCGGTAAGCAGTCCAATTGCGCCTTCCCGCTGTGGACAACATGCTGACGTTGCTTGCCGTCCGATATAGGCGCCGTGGCCGGTGTCTCTGAAGTGAGTAATTGCGCATTGCGCAGACAGCAAGTGACACAGCTAATGGCCACGCGATGGATAGATCCTGGTTATGTGAGTCATCCAGATGCTCTTTTGAAGGCCATTGACTGATCTCTTACTCAGGTACCCGCTTGATGTCGTCAAGACCCGAGTGTAAGCGCGTCAGTCATGACACGACCGCGAAGATATGACGGCTGAGCATATGATAGACAGCTCCAAACCAGCAAGGCTGCCGGCGAGGAATTTTACAATGGCATGTTCGACTGCTTCAGGAAGATCATCAAGAATGAAGGGTATGCCACCGTTCTTGTTTCTCATGGGAAGCGTCGGCATTGACACACGCAGCTTCTCCCGCCTCTACCGCGGCATCAGCGCCCCCATCCTGATGGAGGCTCCCAAGAGGGCTACCAAGTTTGCTGCCAACGATGAGTGGGGCAAGTTCTACCGCAATCTCTTCGGCGCTGCGAAGATGAACCAGCAACTCTCCATTCTGACTGGTGCCACGGCCGGTGCAACCGAGTCTTTCGTCGTCGTTCCCTTTGAGCTGGTCAAGATTAGGCTGCAAGACAAGGCTCAAGCTGGAAAGTACAATGGCATGATGGACTGCGTCACCAAGATTATCAAGAACGAAGGTCCCTTGACTCTCTACCAGGGTCTGGAAAGCACCATGTGGAGGCACATTCTCTGGAATGCTGGTTACTTTGGCTGTATCTTCCAGGTTAGAGCTTTGCTCCCCCCGGCCCAGGACAAGAAGGGCCAGGTCAGGAACGACCTTCTATCCGGTGCCATCGGTGGTACTGTCGGTACCATTATCAACACCCCCATGGACGTTGTCAAGTCGCGTATCCAGAACTCGCCAAAGGTCGCCGGCACCGTGCCCAAGTACAACTGGGCATGGCCCGCTCTCGGCACGGTCATGAAGGAGGAAGGCTTCGGCGCGCTGTACAAGGGTTTCCTGCCCAAGGTGCTGCGTCTGGGCCCTGGTGGTGGTATCCTGCTTGTCGTCTTCACGGGCGTCATGGACTTCTTCAGGAAGATGCGGGAGGGACAATAGATGGACGTTACCGCATAGCCCCGGTTGTTTCTCCTGTCATCGGTGAGCCACGGATAGACTTGGATGTTGGTAGCATGTACGATCATCTGATGAAGCTCACGCATGTAGAGATTCTAGTTCCAGTCACAGAGAACTTAGCTAGATTTAGACGCCGGTCGTTCAAATAACATGACGTTGGCGCGCGACTATATGAGAACAGTATTTGAACTACTGAGCTTTTGAGAACTTATGTCAATAGCTCAACAAATATGAAAAGTTGTTGCCTCAAATGGTGGTTGAATCGAAGGGTATATTTTCTACGGGTTTATGAAGAACCTCTAGAGAAGTTGCCCAATGATTGTCCTTTAAGCCTACCTTGTCTAGGTGCACTTTCATCTCTTTCGGTGTTGGGCTAGGATCAGTAAAGCGTATTGTTCGATAAAGGTTTTAATAGTTTGTCGGCTATTGAGAATATACTATCGATCAACCATAGTCCAGGTTAATGAGGCAGACAGTCTGTATACATATATTTTATCGGTGACGCTGGTTCTCTGGTTTGGACCAAGGGTCGTGCAGCGCCCAAGCTTCCATCCTCCGCACCACCAACTCGCTCCTACAACTTCACCCACTTGCAACATGCCTAAACCGACATAACGTATCCCGCACTAATACTAATAAATCCCCGCGATCCGTCACCGAGCGAGGCAACCGGACTACAGCACCATTGATGTAGCGCGCACGGGGTGTTCGCATAAGCCCGCACCATGCCGCACCACCTCCTACCTCCCAATCCTTCCCTCGTTGCGATACTCCTAGTGATCAAGACCTCATCAGGCCCACGCCTTGTCTTCCATTATCCACCGAATCCCGCCTGCTCATCCTCGGCGCTGCCAGCAAATCCGCAATGGTATAGCAATGGCACGTCGACAGGGACCGATGACGAAGATACAAGCTCTACAAGCAGCACCGAGTGGAACACAGACAGCGACGAGGAAGAAGAGGATGGTGGGAGTAGGGCGGGTAGCATAGCGAGCACAAGGGGAACGAGCAGGCTGAGGGACGGCAGCCGCAGCCGGCGCGGCGCAAAGAGCTTGAAAAGCCAAACGGACGTAGATGAGGACGCGGACGACGACGTCGACGGCTTGGGAGAGGAAGATGGCATGGTAATAGTAAGGACAAGCTCGGGACACGGAGCCATGGGAGGGAAGAAAGGCGGTGGTCCGCAGGACAGCGATGGTAAGCCAGACTGGGACAAGTTACTTGGCTTCAAAAGCGAAGGGTTGGAAAAGTTGCTTTGTCCCGGCAAAAAGTTCAGAAAAAGGAAGTTTGAAGTCGGATTGGAGGGGCTATGCTTCTTAGGATGCCCGATGTTTGCAAAGGAGGGTGCCGGGTGGAAGAAGAAGAGGAGAAGGAGGAAGGGGGCGAATGACGCTCAGGAGGATGCCTCTCAGAAGCCTACCCCGGAGGCGGAAGAGAGTGATGAGAATGCTCCGGCAGACGCAGAAGACGAAGGTATTGAAATTATGACCCCCGATAAGACTAGCCCTCGACTTGAGCTTCCATCAGGATATGAAGCAGGATACGGACATGTGTTGTCCAGCAATGTTTCAGACGCGGGATCGGACACGAAGAGCGCATCCACCACATCAGGCCCATCCGAAATGACCATGTTCAACATCGTTTTCGTTCTGAACCCTCCGGCTCTAGAGTATCAACTACGCAGCCAGGAGATGTATGATAACGCCATCAAGAAGTTTGCGAAAGACTTGAAACACGAGCAGCGCGCATCGAATTACGTATGGAGAGAATCAAAGACTATTCTGGCCATTAAAAACAAGGCCAAAGATGGCAGTGAGTTGCAACTACAACTCGTTCATGGGACGATGTCTAGCTAACTGACAGTACAGGGGAGGGAACAACCAGTTTGTGGCATAGCATTCTTTCTACATCATCACTGGCAAGGTCCATTGCCATTTTGTTTGACTCTCTTTCCAACTCAAAGATTGCTCATATACATCTCGAAACTCTGGCTGATGCGTCTTATCAAATACCCCAAGCACCGTCCACCCCGTACCTGTCTAGGGCGACTGATCCTCAAATGCCTGGGCTCTGGCTCACGACCGCCAACCTCCCAGACGATGGAGATGAAGGCGTATTCAATGTAACGCTTACCCCGCATCATGCCCTGTTGCTACTCGAAGACAAGGAGACCCTTCTCAGAGAGATTGAGGGAGATGCCAAAGAACACTCGGCGCAACTGGCCTTCTATATTAGCAACCTTACGCCCACGAAGTCTCTACAAAAGCTCGCGACCTTGCATAAGATCCCGGTTGCTGACTTGGAGTTTATCGCCGCCCACCTTATATACTGGCGCCGTGCGCGCGCCATTCCGCCGCTTCATCAGCGCGACACATACATTGTATCGCCCAATGCGGACATGCGCAAACTTCCTCAAGCCATACCGGCTTACGCCACCCGCTTCCCCACTCTCCCGTCCTTGCCGAAGATGCTCAGCATGCTGTCAACTCAGCAACCCAGGACCTATGGTAGCTTCATCCCCAGCAAAGACCACCGCCACGCCTACATGGAGATCCTGGCCTGGCTTATGCGCGGCGGCTGGGTGACCCAGCTCCGCACTTTTGCCTGGATCCGCGTCTCGCCTGAGGTCCAGGCTGAAGTTGCCGCCATCATGGAAAGAGAAGCCAAGGATGCCACTCGGGCCGCTATCCAACACGCCCGGGACCGCCGCGCAGCTATGGGGGACCACTCGGACGATGCCAGCGACCGTGCCACGATTGCCAGCGATGATGCGCCGTCTACGCCGCACCGGAAGTCGCCCCGAGACAGCGAGAGCAGCGGTCATGCAGCCCTATCCGAAACGAGCAGTATCCGCAGCCCCCGCGCAGCCTTCCACACATCGCCGCGAGACAGCCAGCATAAGGCGTCGCCCCTGCATGCGTCGTACTCGGCGTCTGCGACGTCTGACTTTCATGGTACACCGGCGACGCCGCGGCGGCCGCACCTCAGCCACAGCTTTCATGCGGCGTCAAAGGACCCGGCGGATTACCAACCGCGCATGATTTACAGCCCTCAGAAGGCGAATGCGCTCGAGGCGCGGTGGATTGAGCATATTAAGAATGGGTTTGAGGATTCGGATGTGCAGAGCATGTTTCCCGTGCTGCAGAAGTATTTTGATGGACGCCATGCCTTGGACGACATTGCGGGGAGAGAGGGCATCAAGCGAAAGAGGGTTTGGGGAGTATTGGGAGTGATGAGAGAGAGAAATGTGCTGTTTGTAATGCGGCATTGGTGAGGGTAAACATGAATTGTTATTTGTTTGTGGTTGAAATAATGATACCTGCGAATGGAGAGAGACGTATTTGGTGTCTTCGATGTGGCTCGTGCACCCGCCATGCTCCGATCAACTTCCACAACACCAACACCACCGCTACACCACCACCGTATCCACAACCGCCTACGCACCCACCCACCATGAGCACCTTTGGCAGCCCCGGCGGACGCACCACCGTCCAGAAGCCCATCCCGTAAGTACCGCCCAATGGGCAATGGCTTCTCGCCGCTGACAGATCCGCAGTCCCGAGCGTGGCTCTTTCCCGCTGGACCACGAAGGTGAGCAACATGACGATTCTTGCGCTATGCTGTCAGTGGCTGACCCGCAATAGGCGAGTGCAAGCCCATTATGGCACAGTATCTGCGCTGCCTGCGCCAGCACCGTGGCACCAATGATCCGGAATGCCGCCTGCTCTCCAAGTCCTATCTCAAGTGTCGCATGGAGCGGTACGTTTGTCTACTTTTCTTTTCCACCGCGTGCTTGTCATTTATCATTTCTGCCAAGTTCTAAGAGGAGCAACGGCAGCGCGCGACGGCCTGCCCTCCGCGCGGTTGGGCGCACGCAAGCTCCTCTCCATCTCTCGCGCCTACTTCCTTTCTTCCCTCCATACCGCAAAACCGTCGCGCCGACACCGGCACGCAGCAACGCCTCAGCTGACATGTTTCCCCGCCGCACAGCAACCTCATGGCACCGGATGAAATGAAAAATCTTGGCTTCTCCGACGACAACGACACAAGCAGCGCGTCAGCCGGCTCGACTCCCGCCACCACTACCCCTACAGCCACATCCGGTGCGACCGCGACCCCCGCCCCCGCCGCCTCGGCAGCATCCGAGCAGCGAAGCAAGGGCGCCCACTAAGCTAAGCCCTGCCAACCAAGCCGACCCAGCGCGCGGGACGCCCCATCTCCTCCTCGTTCTGGGTCGGCGCGACGCAAGGGGTGCGCGGGCGGCAGATAAGCGAGCGGGTAGGCAGGCAGGCGCGCCCTACGAATCCGGGTATCGGCACCCACCCAACCACAGGGCAGGGCGCAGCTTATCGGGGTACCTGCCTCAGCACCTCTCCACCCACCCCGGTCAGTCATGGAAGGAAGGAAAAAGTGGGAGCAGGAGCAGGAGCGAGCGGCCCGGCGCCGCTTTCGCCCGCGGTGCCCGCCCCGGCGCGTGCGTCATCCGCTGCACCCCACAATCGCGGGGACCAAGCTTTTCCACAGCACTGGTGCGACTATGACGGCGGCCTGGCGGACCGGCCCGGGGCGCTGGGTCGGGGCGCGCGGGTGATCGATCGCTTTCTTGCTTGTTCTTTGTTTGTTCGTTCCTTCCTTTTTTTCCTTTTGCTCCTTTATGCTTGTGTGTGTGTATGTGTGCATACCTACACCTATCGGTTTGGAATGGATGGATGGATGTGTGTGTGTGCGGGTGCGCGCAGGGATGGAAGGAGACAGGGCGAAAGAAGGAGGGAAGCGTGTGGTGCTTGGTGGTGGAGGGTGGAGGGGAAGGGCACGCGTGCAGAGGCGGTGTGTTTTGGGTGATGGTTCTTGGAAGAAATGGTTGGCTGGGTGCTTTGGCATCGTGGTGTGTGGGAGCGAAGAAAGGAGTCGCGAGAAAGAAAAGAAGGAAAGGGAAAAGGGAAAAGGCAAAGGGAAACGAAGGGCGTCGTCTGGCCCGCTCGGTGAGTGAGTGGGTGGGTGGGGTGGGTGTGCGCGCATGCGCATATGTGCGAGCGGATAGATGCGTATGCGGGCCGGCGCTGAGACAACCGGGCACGCACGCGCCCACCTCGATCGGGCTGGTCATGGGGATGGGGTGGAAGTGGAGTGGGAGTGGTGGGGGGGTATGTCACCATCACCACTTAACTTACTTCTGCCCCAAGACGAGTGTCGGACTGACTGGCTGACTGACTACCTGCCTGTCTTTCTGTCTGTCTGTTTACTCAAATCCCAAGTTGGCAGGTCGTGGCGCCGGCGCCGATGTTGGTGGTGGTGGTGATGGTGGCATGTGCACCCTCCCATGTAGGTAGGGTAGGCACCGACGACGGATTGACGGGCGGGCGGCCGCGTCATGGGGTCGTCGTCGTCGTCGCTCTTGTGCCGGCTTGCTACCTACCTAGGTACAGAGCTGGACGCGCAGATGAGACAAGGTTTGATGGCCGACACCATGGCATGGCGGGCGGGCAGGCACATCTGTAGCAAAGACGGAGCAAGCAAGCAAGCAAGCAAGCATCCACATCGGATAGGCAGGCAAAATAAAACAACAACCGCCATAACTCTACCAACCAGCCGGCCGGCCAGCCACAAAGCGCCATTTACTGACACGCACGCACGCACGCACGCACGTCCTCGGGCCCAAAGTACGAGCCCGGTGCGGTTCAGACAAAGCAATCGAGGCAATCAACGCCAGTCAGAAGCCACGGACAAGGCAAAGCAAACGTGCCGTGTCGTGCCGTGTCTGAGTGAGTGGGTGAGTGAGTGTGTGTGTGCTATAGATAGAATAGAATAGAACGCATGATATGGTATGTATGTATGTATGTCCAATACACCTCGTGGGAACGACGACTGAAGGGATAGAATTATGAGAGCACAACCACTGAGATCGTAAAACAGATAGAGCCGCAGTGCTTGCTTGCTTGCTTGCCTGGCTAGTAAGTTCAACCAAAAAGAAGCCAGCGGCACACATGAACGCGAACCTCAAACACCAGAACCAAACCCAAATAACAACCAGCAGCCAGCAGCAGCAACGACGGTGGTGGCGTAGCGCAAGCAAGCAAGCATCATCCCCTCGTCCACCAACACCCCCCATTCATCCATCCATCCATCCATAACGAAGAAGCAAGCAAGCAAGCAAGCAAGCAAAATCGTGGGGGGTCAAAAAAGCAAAACAAATACCACAGCACCACCCCCAAAGGCTCTCTCAGTCGCAGCCAGCTACTGACTCCAGATAGACAAACCGACAACCACTAACAGACGAATGAACGAATGAACGAATAGAACGGCCAAGTAGCAAACAAGTTAAGTGAAATATACTAATAGTAGTAGTAGTAGTACTAGCACTAGGTAAATAAATAGATATATAGATAGATAGATAGGTACCAACAAAAGCAATATAGCCCTCCAAAAAAGCAACCAACCAGCCAACCAGCCAACTAGCTCTCAGCCCTCCCATCCCTTCCGAAAGAGAAGAAAACAGCAAAACCACGAAAACGAAAAACGAAAAACGAAAAACGAAAACAGCCCCAGTCCAGCTGAGAGTACGTACGCAGGACCCGACCCGACCCAACCCAGCTCAGCCCAGCTCAGAGCCCCCGAGCTAATGACATAGGCTAAACCGCTGCGCAATGCATGCATGCATGCATGAAAGCAAGGAAGCAAGCGAGCAAGCAGCAGCCGCACGAATACCAAAAAACAGGGGACGAGACGAAAGGAGGCAAGAACGCAATGGCAACAAAGACAATAATTAGAAATAGTAGGAATAGTACTAGTAGTAGTCGTCGTCGTCGTCGTAGTAGTAGTAGTGCTGTAGATAGATCCATTTCATTCGTTCCCGCCCGGGGGTGATAAGCTGCTGTGGAGCAAACAGGAAAGATATTAAAAAAAAAAAAAAAAAAAAAAATAGTAATAGGTAGTTGGCCTTGAACCAAGAAATGAAAAAATAGAGGAAGAAAAAACAGGATATCATTTCAATCGATTCGGAAAACCCGCCCGAAAAAAAAAAGGTCGCCTTGCCACACCACCCTTTGCCCGTTCCTGCCCTGCTCCTTCCTTTGCCCCCCGCCACCCTCTCGTTCATCCATCGTCATCCGTTAGCCACACCCGTTGTTCGGCTTTGTTCGCTCCCACTAATTCCCGCTCAGCGGCGCCGTCCACCTTGCTAGCTAGTACCCATCACACCATGTCGTCGGGTGAGAGGGGGCTTGGGAAGCAGGAAAATAAGCAGATGGGTAAGGTAGGTGGTAGGTTGGAGAAGAATCGAAAGATCATGAACTCCACGACCCGTAGGATGCATATGCTCGTAATACGAAAAGATAAAAAATAAGAAATGAAAACTAAAATAGAAAAAAGAAAACTTCCATGCAATCGCGCCACCACTGTCGAGAAAGAAGCAAGGAAGCAATGTCAAGTTAAGAAGGGCAGCAGCGAATCGGCAAGCAGAAGATAAATGATAAAATAAAGCAAAAGGTTTCCCCAATGATCGTCAGAATCCGACTAACTCCGGTGCAAGATCAAAGGAATAAACAAAAGGAGAGCGCATCGCGCAGCTAGTCTCCGAATACCGGTCTAGTTTTGTGATGCATGATGCCAAATGTAGCTGGTTGGGGGGTATCTCAAATTGATGCCATGATCTTCTGCCCGGAAACATCTAACGGTGGTGGCTCCGGCCCAAGAGGGTGGGTATGTAATCACATCTCCATGCCGAACTCGTCCTCTTCCTTCAAGCCGGGCTGGTTGATCCAAAACTGTGGCTGGCCAGAGTTTGCGCCACTACCGCCCGATTGGATCGCAGGGCTGAGACTCTGAGGCGACATTGGGTTGAGTGCGTCACCGGCGAGATTGGTGTGCTTGGGCACCCGAAGGCCGGTGCCGGGAGCCCGGGAATACGAGAAGGTCTCCCAATTGTTCTTCTCAATCGCGTCGAAAAGCTCGGTGCGCATGCGATTTTCCTCCTCAGTGTACTCGTACGGAGTCTCGCCACCCAATTGACGAATCTGCTCGAAAAGCTGCTCTTCCTGCTTCAGCTTGAGGTAGAGCATCCACATCAAATCGCGGGTCCAGCTGACGGAACCGTTGAGAATGTCGCCTTTGTTCGGGCCTTTGTCTTTGTCGTCGATCGGAAGACCGGTGGTGATATTACCCGCAGCGCGCCTGCCGTTTGGACCCGCCAAGAGTGACGTCGCCTGAGGTGGCGAGATGCCACTGGCGGCCAAAGTAGGCGACAGGGGTCCATTGTTATGGATGTGCTTACGAATCTTCTCATCCTCCAACCGATGCTGCGGCACAAGTTTGGACAAATCCTGGATGCGCTCGTTGATGTTGTCTCTCCGTCGGCGCTCAACCATGTTGTGCGACTCGCGACGCCTGCGCCGCTTCGCCTCCTGCGTCTGGTATGCTGGGTTGGGCTGTCCGTTCTCTACCTTGGCTGGCAAAGATGCGTGCTTCCCCGACGCCAAGACCTCGGCCATGCCGGGGTGCATACCGCCCTGGTGAGGTGAGACTATTGGTGAGTCGATCCACGAGCCGCCGCTGCCGGGCGTATTATCCCACTGGCTCGACATGCTCTTCTGGTGGCCGTGGCTCGGTCGGTGCGCGGCGTTGATGGGTTGCGAGGGAAAGCTGCCAGAGTCGGGCGTGCTGAGGTGAAGAGCGCCAAGTGCGGGGGTCTTGGGCGTCAGCGGGCTCCGAGAATCGGATAGCTGTCTCTCCAGGCCCATCCTGGAGTGCTGCCTCGCATTCATGTTGAACGATCCGTTGGGCATGCTGGCCAATCGCTGGTTTTGCATGTTCTGGAATTGACCCGGGTAATTGAATCCACCATCGGCGAATGGGCTTTGGATTGGCGCTCCATCGGGCGTGTTCGAATACATGTTGTTGTTGTTGTTCATGTGGTTCTGATTGGTGTTGACCGACATGGAATTCCCGTTCATCTGGGGCTGAAAGTAGTTTTGCTGGTTGTGTTGCTCGTTGTTCTCCTCATTGAAGTTGTGAAAGGCGCCGTTCTGGTTGCCCGAGTCATCGATCAAGTCCCGGAGGTCATCGTCGGCAATGTGCGAGTTGCCCAGGAAGCTCGACGACATGTTGTTGGAGCCGTACTGGTTGTTCAGGATGAAGCTACTGCTCATGGTGAGGTCGGAAGGGTTTACGCCGAAAGCATTGCCGGAACCTCCGTAGTTCTGGTTGCCGAATTGGTGGGACATGTCGAAGCCAGGCTGGTTGGCGAAGCGGTTCGGGTTGAAGTGCATGTCGTCGGACTCTTCCTTGATATAAGGAGCCGGCGAACCGGGGTGGGCCATGGCTGAGTCAAAATGGAAGTCCGGAGGCGAGTCTATGTCTAGTTCTGGCTTCTCGATTGATTTCTGTATGTGGTGGTTGAAGTTCGGAAAGTGGGTGATGTTTGTGTCGGCTGCGATGAGATCAGTGGATGTTCTTATATAAGGCTGCCTAGCCGCAGGATCGGCGACAGCCAATGAGGCGGCTGCTAGCCACGAAAGGGCTGAGGAGCGACGCCGGTGAAAGAATGCATGACGGAATCTGGACTATTGGCCGGGTGGACCAATGCGGCTGCTGCGACTCACCTACGATCATTACTGGAGTCGGACCGCTTCGATGTGGTTGAGGGTTGAGCGGTGGGCCCGGGTTTTGGCGTGCAAGCGAGCGGACGAGAGATGCACGCTTAAATGCTCGCGGGCGGAGCGGTTTGCGGTTTGGAGGGAAGCAAGCTAGGGGGGCGCATTCGCATCGATAGAAACTGGCAAAGCTCGCATATATTACGGCCTTGCGTCAGAGAGCATTAGCCTCGCATTGCCCAGAGCGTTTGATGCGGTCGTCGTACCTCTCTGCAGCCTCTTACCGGGGGTGTTGGCCGACTTGAGTCAAGGCGGGACTCGACAGCACAGTCAGGGAGAGGGGGGTGCGGACGGTGGGACGTGTGCGACGGGTGGTGAAGGAGGCGGACAGCCGGGCTTGGTGGGGCACAGCGAGGGCGGCGGCGGCGGCGGCGACGACGACTGACGACGACGACGACGACGACGACGACGCCGGGTCTCTTGGTTGGTTGGAGAAAAGGCTGCTGCGCGGCTGGAGTTAGCACACACACGAGAGAGAGAGAGAGAGAGAGAGAGAGAGAATGGGAGAGAGAAATACGTTCGGAAGTGGACGTGCTTAGAGAGCGACGTCTCTTGGTTGGATCGAGGTGTTCGAGGATGGATCAGGATGGATGAATGGATGGATGGCGGGGACCCCGGGCCTAGGGTGAGGTGCGCAGGGCTGGCTCTTTATTAAGCGTTGGATTAAACGACAGTGGCCCGCCGAGAGCGCCGGAATTCGTCGAGGCGGTCAGACAGCGGCAGGAATGCGAGGATTGGCCCGGCTTGATATAATGGTCACAGTCGCCGAGTCTCAGATCCAGTGACTCATGGGCCCGTCCGCCGAATATCCGCCTGCTTGCTTGCTCTTTCGTACCGTAACAGTTTGCCAGTGAAACACTTCCCTTCGCCCTCCACCCTTCGCCCTCCACACCCTCTCCGCTGCCTCACCGCCCAATCACCGCCCGTCGCACTCGGCTCGAATCACGCCCTCCTGGCTGTCTCACCCCCCGGTCACTGGACGCCCGCCCTCCACAAACCCCCCGAGCCTCTACCCCCATCCCCCGAAGATCATCTGCACGCAATCTCGCCCGCCTCCCGTCCGCGCTAGCGTTCTTTCAGAAGCCGCAAGACACACCAGCGAACCCACTTCTCCCACTCCAGGCCACTTGGGGCAATCCGCCAAGACGACCATCCCATCCCCATCATCATCATGGCCTCGGCCTCGTTTCGCGACTCGATGAATTCGCTCGGCTGGAGCCGCCGCGACCCCGACCTGCCCGTCAACACGGCCTCGCAGCAACCCATCCTCAGCAGGCTGCAGTCCTTGAACCCCTTTGGCGACGGTGGCTATGTCAGGCTGCCCACCCACGAGCCCGGCGCGCCCCTGCCCGCCCCGACGCGCCGTGAGGAAGAGGAGGGTTGGTTTGCGCGTAAGTCTACTACTGCCTGTCGTCCCGCCTCCCGACACTCTGCTGCACCCTGCGCCGGGCAGATCTGTCGCCGAGGGGTGACAGGGTGCAGTTCCTGCGTATTCTTGTCCTGGGCGTGCATGGAGCTTGCATGGCCCAGGTGCTACGCTCCGCCTGCGCACCGCTACCCACCGCGCGTCCAAAAAGACGCAAAAAGGCGCTCTTGGACATTGGCTGACAGCCTGGAACAGTGAGCCGATGGGACCGGATGCTCGTTTTTGGCGGCCTCAACCTTGCCGCCGTAGCCATGTTCGTTACTTGTTTTGCTCTGATGCCTACCGGCGTCTTCCTTCTGAAACCCAGAAAGTTTGCCATCCTGTAAGTTTTTTTTTCCAAGGCAGCAACCATGCCCGTTTTTCCTTTATCTCTGGCCCACTTTCTGGGCCGCCGGCGCATTTTTACGAGGCAGCCACGGCGGGGGCCAGCCGGGACCGTGACGACCGCTAGCCACGTTCCTCTCTGAGACAGAGGCCCACACCCACCAGCGATCATGCGGGTGCTACCTGCGGTGCACCGCAGACGTCGCTACCTAATCTCAACTTCGCTCAAGCCCACGCTCCAATCATGGCGCGGCGACGGTGCAGGGGCAGCAGCAGCTAACGCTCTGTCTCTTCCTCAGGTGGACGATGGGCTCGGTCCTAGCCCTGGCCTCTTGGGCGGTCATGATGGGCCCGATGCAGTATGGTAAGCAAGCCGCCGTCCGCATTCGGATCGTCAGCCTGTCATGGAATACTGACCTCTGTCCAGTCCAACACCTGCTTTCGGGCCCCCGACTACCGTTCACCGCGGCATACTTTGGCACCATCGCGCTGACTCTCTTTTTCGCCATCGGGGTAAGTTGTCGGATCCTTGCAATCGATAAACCTGCTTTCCCATCATCGTCGTCTGATCCCTGTCGGGCCAAACACCATCACGACCTCTTCCCACACCCCTCCCCCTCCCCCTCCCCCCTCCCCCCCACGCTAGCCGCCGCATGCGATTGCTCGTGTTTACTGAATGGGCGCGTGATTTTCACTCTAGCTTCACAGCACCTTCCTCACGCTCGTCTCGTCGATCGCGCAGCTCGTTTGCCTGCTGTGGTATCTGGTCTCTTATTTTCCGATGGGATCGTCCGGACTGCGCTTCGCAGCGCGCTTCGGTGGGAACAGAGTCGCGGCATGGATGAACGACTGATGAAGGGAGCGACGCGTGCACCACACACCCGCTTGCTGCTGTATTTACTACACAGACAAACCCATGTAGCCATGACGCGAGGCGCGTCGCGAAAGCGAACACAGCGTCCAGGGTCTCGCCTCATGCTGGGCGAGGCAAAAAAGAATGCCAAACATTTTCCTGAAACATCCGCGGCGGCCGGGTCATCAGGACCCAAAGATGCAAAAGTCATTTTCTCGCAGAGGCAGCAGCAGCAGCAGCAACGGCAGCAACGGCCGCCACACACACTCATTCTCTCTCTCACGCACACACACACCCACAGCCCATCGTCGCATTCGCGATGACGTTCGCAGAATCCGGAAGCGCCATCCTTCCCTCCCTCCCTCTCCGGGAATGGAGGCGCGCGGGCTTAGCCACCACTCCTCCTCCAAAAAAGCATCATATGCCCTCCCACACAGCTTACTCACCCACACAGCCTCCATTTATTTTGCCTCCCCTGCAAAGCCATGGGCCACACTCCCACCCCTACCCTACCAAACCCTACCAAACCCTACCATACCATACCTTACCCATCACGACCTACGACCTACGACCTACGATCATCAACCTACCAGCATCAAGCATCCTCCTTCCGCCGCGCCCCGCGCACCACTCGCACCGCAGCAGCCCCCTCCCCCATGGATGAACGGACGGGCCACAAAAGCGGCTGCTGGCTGCTGCTGGCTGCTGCAGACCATCGCCTCCTGCATGGCCGACGACGCGCACGCCCGCCCACCCCGGCCGCATGATGCGCGCGCGCGGCCTATCAGCGCGGCTGTGCGCACAGAGGCCTAGGTAGGTAGACGGCTCGCTCGCTCGCTTTTTGTTCTGTTTTTTGTTTCTCAGCGGCGGCGGCGTCGGAGTCGTCGTCAGCTCCCATCCCATCTACTTGCCTACTTGCCTAGCTGTCTATCTCGCTTTGCGTGCTGACGCTGTCTGCTGCCCGTTATTCCCGGCTTGCGAGGCTTGGGTGGGTGCTCGAGTTGCTTGCTTGTCTGCTTGTCTGCGATGGCTGGGCTGTGCTGGTGGTTGTGGTGGTAGGACCGCGCGCGCAGGCAGGCAGGCACCTCCTACATCGCTAGCTACCTAGGCAGATAGGTAGGTACCTAGATAGGCACGGTAGGGAGGGTAGGCACCGAAGTAGGCAAGCAAGCAAGCAGGCAGGCAGGCAGGCAACCGACAGCCCGACCGGTAGGTAGGCGGGTTAGGCTGCACGCCCGCCTGCGCCCTTACCATCCATCCACTCACAGGCTGCGAATTCCACAACAGCAGCCGGCCAGCCAGCCAGCAGCAGCAGCAGCAGTCAGTCAGTCGTTCGCTCGTTCTGCGCCGCGTTCTCGGGCGCACGCGCCGGGCGCGCTGCTAAGGCTCTACCTAGTTGGGTGAGTGGGTGTGTGGCACCACGGCGGCGGCGGCTCTTTCTCCCCCCTCTCCCCTCTCCCTCCCCTCCGGGCTGCCCGCTAGGTCCTGCGTCTGCGTCTGCATCTGCTGCATCTGCAGGCTGGCCCGCCCTCCCTCTCTTCTTCTTTCGTCCTCTTTCTCTCTTTCTCTCACTCTCTCTTTTTCTTTCTTGGATTATCTTTCTACCTTTCTGGCTAGCTGGCTACCTGACTATCTTCCATCTGTACGTCTATCTACCCACCCACCCTACTCTACCTCCTCCACCACCACAGCAACAACGACCCAACCAAGCAACCAACCTAGCAGACAGACAGACATACATACATACATGCATGCGCGCGCTCCACCCTCTCCAGTCCCCACACCCCACCCACTCTCCCTCCTAGTACCTCGCATCAGCATCATGACCAGCATCAGCAGCAGCAGCAGCAGCAGCAGCAGCAGCCCAGCGCAAGCAGCACGTCATTCCCGCCGCGGCGGCACCGCACGACCGCTCGCTCGATACGACTTACTGCCTGCCATGACACGCACCCGGCCCGGCAGGCAGGCAGGCAGGCAGGCAAGACACCCATACGTACACGGCCTCGCCTGCGAGACGAGACGCCAGACGAGACGGGACGAGACACGGCGTGGCGCGGCGCGATCGACCGCCTGCCAGATGGCCTGCCTGCCTAGGACCCCACCCCCACCACAGCGGGGGTTGTCGCTGCTGCTGCGCGCGCGCCCCGCGACTGGGCTGGGCCGGCGATGGAGCCCTCCATACGTCCATACGTCCTTATCTCCCTACCTATCTCCCTACCTGCCTACCTACGTCGATCGGTCCAACCCCAGCCAGCCAGGGCGCTAAACCAGCACCCCCACCCGGCACGGGACGCACGGGACGCACGGGCGCGCGCGAGGGCGGGACGGACTGGAAGTGAGGCGAGAGTGTGAGGGTGCGAGGGTGTGAGGTACTAGGTAGGTAAGTGGGGTGGGTCTGTTGCATGCCATGCGGGGGAAACAGCAGGTGGGCGCGGCTGCCCAACTTGCTTGCTTGCCTGCCTGCCTGTCCGCTTGCTTTGCGCAGATCAAGCAGAGCAGGCGAGCAGGTGGGTTCGCGCGCGCGCGCGGTGCTGTACTGTGTGTGCTCTGCTGTAGGTAAGGTAGGTGGTGGCGGCGCCGCCGGGCATGGCCTGCCTGCCTGGGGATGGTGTTTTGCGTGCTTGCCTGCCTGCCTACTGACATGTTGACTTACTGACTTAGTGCTTGCTCGAGCGCCGCGTGCCTGCCTACATACATACATAGGTATGTATGTCTGGTACGTACGTATGTACCCAGGTAGGCGCGCAGCAGACGGTCTAGCAGCAGGCAGGCAGGTGGGCGGGGCGGCGACAAACAAACAGAAAGACAAAAGACAGAAAGAACGACGAGCAAATGTCATATGCGCAGGTGCGGCTGCGCGGCCGGGGAGGGGGGGCTGCCCGCTGATGCCGGCTGCGCGCGCTCACTCGCTCGCCCGCCAGGCTGGACGGCGCGGCCATTGGTTGGGGCGTGGCTGGGTCGTTGGTTGGTTGGGCTCGCCCACTTATCGCATCGGGCCTGTCTGGCGGCCGGCCACGCTGCTGCTCGTCATCGGCAGGCGCGCGGGTCAATGAGCCAGCCACTTCTGCGTCGAAAGCCAGCCCACTTGCCTAGTTTGGGCGTGCAGTGTGTATGGAGATGGTAAGATGTGTGTGGGTGTCTATGCACGTAGGCAGGTAGGCAAGCAGGGCGGGCTCGCGGGATCCGCGCTGATCGCGGCAGCAGATATGTATGCTGCATGCGCGGCTTGGTTATTTATGCACGAGGGACGGCACGGCGGCTAGGCTGGGCCGGCGGGCGCTAGGGCGCTAGCTGGGCGCTGGGGTGCTGGGGGGTCTAGGGCGGTGGCTTGGGTGGTTGGTTGGTTGCTTGTTGGGCTCGTGAGTGGGAGGTTGGTGGAGTACCTAGTACGGCAAGGCAGTTGGAGGGTGGGCATAGCGCACGAGCGTGGTGGATGCTGACGAGAGGAATTGAGGAAATGGAGGATAGAGAGATGGATGGAGCTCAGGGCGACAGACGCGGGGACCAGCAACATGGGGTAGTACGGTCGTCGGTCGGTCGCAGCTGCCAGAAGCCAGAGCCAGAGCCAGGCCGCAGCTGCTGCCCCGGAGTGGATCCTCGCACACACCCCGTGCCCGTGCCTGCCGACGACCTACGGACGATGGGCGGGTATGGGACGCCTACGCTACGGCGCGGGAGGATGGGGGGAGCTGTGCTGCACGTGGACGACGGGACCGGGCTGGGCTGGGCCGCGCTGGCTTGGGTAGGGTAGGTACCTCTCTTGTGAGACGTGACTGCGAGGATTGGAAATAGACTTTTTTGCTGTTTGCTCGATGCGGCGCGCATTGCTCGCTCTCGGATGCGGTCGAGATGTTGTTCTCGTAATCATCATCACTGCCCGTCACTGCCACCACCACCACCATCATCATCGCCGTTCATGTAGGCATGCATGTACGTAGGTATGTACGATCGGCGCGCGGCGCGGCTTGTCAATCAATGCCCTAGGGTAGGTACCATGTCAGCGCATCATCAACCCTGATCCATGCGTGCCCGCGCCCGCCAGGCCGCTCGCCGCCCAGCCGCCGCCAAACCCGCCCAGGGCGCGGCGCGCGGGATCTTTCGGCGACGCGACCCGTGCGCGCGCGCGGCCTTGCGAGTGGTTAAGGTAACCTCCTCTGATCCGTACAGTACATAGAGGAGTGGCATGCTCTACACCTGATAGACGGCTATTATCCAAGTAACCGCATACGGATTCCACCAGTCTAGTACCGGTACAAAGCACACCAACCAACCACACAAAAAGACGAAGGACGAAGGATCCATACGTCGTTCATCCTTTCGCGGTTTATTTTTATCCTTTATCGTTCAATAGTCGCCGACGCCCGACGCCGACGCCAACGCCAACGCCGACGCCGACAACCAAGCGAGCCGACAACCTACGAAGCGAGCCGACGGGCCAACGACCACCGCCAACACCAGACGCGCGCCCGCGACCCGGCCCCCCAGTAAGGTAGGTCAGGTCAGTCAGTCACTCCGTCACCCTGCCCTGCCTGCCCTGCCCTGCCCTGCTACCGTGAAGAAAAATGGGAAAATCCGGATTTGCCCACCACCACCACAGGCAGCAGCGCAACCCAAGCCGCCGGAAGCGGTTCCGGGCGCAACGCAGCATACGAGCCAGGAGCTCGCCTCGTCTCATCTCGAGGCCATAACGATGTCTGTATGTACCATGTGGCAGTAGTGCGTGCCCTGCCCTGCCCTGCCGTGCTCTGCCCTGTTTGCCTGCCTGTCTGTCTGTCTGCTCTTGGCTGGGGTGGCGGGCTAAAGACAGGGCAGTGGTGGCAGGTTACGCGGACCCTGGTGGGGGAGTGGGTGGGAGATAGAGAGAGAGTGAGAGAGCTTGCACGCGCACGCCGCCGTATTTGATATCGCTGTCGTTGGGGACGCGCACGCACTTACGCAACGCGCGAGGGAGTGCGCGTGTGTGTATGGGTGGGTGAGTGAGTGGGTAGGGTAGGCGGGTGATGATGATGGGTATGGATGGATGGATGACTACCTAGGAGTATGGGTGTGGGTGTGGGAGCGGGTGATGGAGGGGTGTGGCTCGTTGATGGCGATGAGCCGGAATCGCCGCCGGAAATGCAGGCAGCCGACGCGCGCGGCCGCTCGCGCTCGCTCGTAAAAATAATTCTCATGTCCCTGCCAAATAGCCACTGTACCTACCCTGGCTACCTACATATTGTACATACATATGGCCCAGTCAGTGGCCCGCCTCGCTCTGCCTGTCCACCTAGTACCTAGCAGCGGGCCGACGACGTCAACGTCGTGAAGAAGAAGCAGCAGCAGCAGCAGCACCGAGTCACCAGCCGCGTCGACGGTCAGGAGGACCGCGCTGCTATGTGCTATGTGCTATGTGCTAGGGTGGAATCATGTTGCTAGGTAGAGAGACACGACGAAAGCCAACCGAGTTACCGCGTACGCAAGTACCGCAGACCAAACCTCGCCGGTATTTTTTTTAGCGCGGCGAGCTGCGCGGTCAGAAGGCCCTCCCCTTGTCGCTCGCTGCGCAAGACAAGTGAAAAACCACTCTATACCTATGTGTGTGTGTGGATGAATGTATGTATGTACGCTTAGGTACAGAGTGCGTAGGTAGTCACGGTCGGCGACGGCTTGTCGGCGACCCGGCCGAGCGAGGCACGCACTGCTGCTCTGTTCTGCTCTGACGGCGGGGGGCACACAGCACGTACGGCGACGCGACGCACGATCCCGGGCGGCTATCTTTCCCGCCGTGCACCCATTGGCTTGCACGACACGACGCGAGCCAAACCCTGCTGCTGCCAAACCAAACCACGCAACTGCAACCAACAGCAGGGCCAAAGGGGCCTTCTGCCCTGCCCTGCCCTGCCCTGCTTTGCCCAGCCCCGGCTTGTCCGACGCGACTCCAGTATCGAGCACCATGCACCGCCATGCCAAGCGCAAACGGGCTAGAGGAAACACGCAGCGCGCGGATCGGGCCTCTGGCTACATAGCGGGCATGCCCGCAGGCCGGCATCGGCGGACGTCTGTCTGGTCAGTCATCAGTGATCAGACAGTCATCAGTCAGGCCGACAGATTGACTCGCGGTTGGCAGATGGCGGTTGTCGCGGCGCACGCGCGCCGTTTGACGTTTGACGTTTGGCGGCTGACGTCGGTGGGCGGGTGGAGTGCAGGGTGGAGAGGGTGGAGAGAGACGTCTGGAGAAAGGTGGGGCTGCGGGCTACGGGGGCGAGGCGCGGGCCGCCCGCCTGGTGGAGGACGGGCGCTGCTCCCTTGTACGGACCCACTCCGCATCGTCGTCCCTGCGCGTCTGGCGCCCAGCGCGCGAGCCTGATGGCGTTGCCGACGTCGTCGTCGTCGTCGTTGATTTACTTACGACAAACTAGGTGACCGGTGAGTAGTGGTGGTGCCTTTTCGCAGCAGCCTCTTAGATGCCGTGCGACGCCGTCCCTCTCTTTGTTCCCGCGTGGTGGGTAGGCGTGTGTGCCCATTGTCTCTTTGTTCTCGCGCCGATGGTGGTGGTAATGGTGGGGGTGTGGGGCAGAAATGGAGGGCAAGAGAGGGGACCAGAAAAAAAAGAGAGCTAGAGCTGCGCGCTTGATGCTGCTCCTGCTGATGCTACTGCTGCGCGCGCAGGAGATCGCGGGTGTCTGCGTGACTTCAGTTGGGGGAGATTGCCCATGTATGCGGGTGAGAGGGCTGGACGTCGTGTGCACGGCACGACAGGACAAGAGGAGGCCAAAGCATGGCATGCAGCGCTCTCTTGTGCTGCGTGCGGCCGTTAGTCTACTGTATGTATGTAAGTGAGCCCTGGACGCCTGAAGAGCGGCAGCGAGCGACTATGTGAGTAGGCTCTTACACACGCCGTCCAAGGACCGCCCCGTTCTATGCACAAAACCCTGCCCTAAATACGCCGCAACCGCCAAATCTAATCTCGTTTGTTTCCTTTTTCCCCGTTCCTCATCTTTGTGTAAGGCGAGCCAAGGCAACCAGGCAGCAGTACGTAGGTAGTCACCGCCATTCTCTCCATCCTGTCCACAGCATATACAAGAACGCGGGTTTTGTGTCTTAATGCCGCCTTCTCACTTACACACACACACACACTGATCACTGATCACTGATCTGTCCCAGAGTTCCACCCACACCCACCCATACATACCCACGCGCGCTTGAGACTCAGTCAGCGCTATGATCTGCCCAACATCCCGGTTATAGGAGCGCTCACATCCGGAGTATACTCTCCTGCGCCGCTAGCTCGCTGTGACAGGCGCAACAGCAGCCGCCGCCACTGCGGCAAAAAGCATAACCCGCCTGTATAGTAGCAGGCCATAGCTACCAGCCCGCGGGCCCTAGCCGCGAGTCTGCAGGCCTATGAGCTTTGCGGCCTGTCATGTCATACACAATTTTGCTTTTCTCACGCCGAGTAGCCTCATCTCATGGGGGACGAAAACCGTCATTAATGCTGCAGCAAGGCTGGCGGCGCGGACGGGGCGTTCCGGCTGCTGCTGCTGCCACTACTGTTGAGTGAGTGAGTGGTCATTCGTGCAAGCACCTCGTAGGGATGCCGTAGGTACAGTGCTGCACTCCTCCCACTCATGCCTGCTTCAGGCCAGGGCGTGCCATGCAGGTTCCCGCGGCATGGCTGCTGCTGCTGCTGCGACCCTTCTTCGCGCTCCGAGGCCGCACGTAGCCTTCCGATCCGAGCCCGCTTGCTCTGTTCTAGGTTTGCTCCTGTCCCGTCCCGTCCCATCGCTTTCGCCTTCTCTTCCGTCCTCCTCGTTTTTTGGCTCCAGAGCTGCCATTATCTGGCATTCCCTCCAACATTTCCAGTTTTATGCCCACTCCAGCCCCAACTTTTCTCTACTTTTCACTCACCCCCTACTTCTCAGCGCCCTCCCCATCTCCTCCACAAGAGCCCATCGCCTTCCTCCCCTTAGGAAATCGACACCCACAACCACGGCCAACAGCAAGGCCACCAAGCCGCTCACCGCCCATCCTAGACATGCGTGCCTAGCTAGACGCGTGGTTTTGCCGCAATGATACGATGGCGTTCTCGTTGCTAGCACCCGGCTCAGAAACCCGGTTGGTTGGCAGGAGCTAGTTTCGCCACGTTGGTGGCGGTGGCGACGGCGATGGCGGCCGTTGCTGGGTGCGAGTTATTGCTCTGTTTGGGTTGTGTGTCTTTGGCCGCTTGTGTGGCTGTGTGTGTAGTTCGACCGCTCCGTCCTGCCTGCTGTTTCCAGTTGCGTGCGATGCTTTGCTTTGCCTCGCCCTGCCCTGTCCTGTCCTCGTCGCTACCTATGCTCTTCATGCTAGTAGTAACGTCTGTTACCATCAAGCAAGACTCACCGCCAAATGAGATATCGACGGTTGTACGGAGTGGACGAAGAAATTCAGTTGAGGTGTTCGTGGTATGTTTGTGCTCAAATACTTCTTCACTGAAGGCTTGTATCTAGACAAGAAGCATTCCGTAGGGACTGGTTAGGTCGTTCTCTATCTCGCTAGACGGTGACGGACGGTAATACTACCAGTATAGCTATCCTACTACATACCTACCTACCTACGTTATGTGAGCTACTTCTATCCAACAACACCAATACAACACATCCGCGCCCAACCCGCTCGAAAACAATACAAACCTCTCACCACCAACGACTGCGCCTTTTTCTTCCATATGGCAAAATGTATCCTCCTAAACCTCCCTCCTTTTAAGCATCTTTACCTTCACCAGCCCTCATGCACGCCCTGTAGCGTAGCGTGTGTGCCACGCAACGTGGATCATTACTTGCTCCGGTAGAGGATGCTGCGGCCGGTTATGTATAGACGCGGTGGAGGTGTGGGAAGTAAAGATGGCGGAGGAGGAAGAGGAGAGCGGTTATTTGGATAATTTACCTACTCTACTTGATAATAGCTGTAACAATATATAATTTACTTCTACTCTAAATATCTTCTATCCGTTAACTTCATAACTACCTTTGTACCTCTCGATTATTTTATATCCGAACGCTTATAGGATATCTTAGTATAATATACCTTCGAGTATTTTTTAAATGTTATTATACCTGGTATCTTTTTACTCTTGTATAGTTATATAGACCATATTAGCCGTCGCGTAATATTCTGTTATAACCACTTAATAAATAATCTATAATTATCGTAGATTTCACTTAGTATGTAGTTGAGCGGTGGGCATATCATCCGGAGCCTAGTATAGACCTACGAATTTCAGTTTATAAAACATCTACTTAGTAGATTAAATGCAACTGATGTCTTTTAGACACGGCTTTAATTATATAAATATATACTCAGTGAGGTAAATTTGTGCCGCGATAACTTTAAAGAGTACTGTATTTACCTACATAGTATTCGACGTGAAAGCGTTACCTAATGCGGCTGGATTACTATACGAAGTGTTTACTAGAGGGGATAAACGATGTATATATTATGTCTTTAATATATATATTCTATTTCTAGGTGTGGCAACCTTCTGAATATTAAGAAACGGCGACCTTTAATCAAAAAGATTTTTTGATTAAACTTATACGAGATATCCTGATTGACGCTTAGGCCTCGTATAAAACAGTCCCATAAGAGATGTGGCGTTAATCAGAAAACTCACCGTCACGACATCATCTACCAACAACTTTCTCTGCATCTCGAACCCACCACCATGTTCCAATCACTAGCACCCATTCTGCTCATTCTCTTCCTCGCCCTCATCACCAGCTGTATCGAGCACGAACACTCAACCACGTCGCTCCCAGAAGAAGGAAAAACCAAAACCAGCCATTACATCATCTTCCGCAAAGGCAGTCTACAATATCTCCTGCTAGAGCACCACAAAATCCAAACGCAACCAGCCTCGCCCCTTAAGGCGTGCAAGTCCGTTCAGAAGACGTCAGTCTCCACCGCCCCACCCCCGCTTCCCCGCGAGAGGCATGATGGCCAGGCTCGTTCGGATCCGCGCGGGAGATCGGCGGTAGCGGTGAGGGCCTTGTAACGGGAGGGACCCGGACCGTGGGGGGACGGGGGGGATGAGACGGCGCGCGGGCCGCCGAAACACGGGTCGTCGGAGCGAGGTCCGTTGATATTTTTTTTGGGCCGGATGGTCAGATGGTTCAGATCAGTACGCGAAGTAGGTTTCAAGTGAATGAGTGATGGCGTGAATTGGTTTCCGTTCACTGCGCTGGCTTGGGCTTTAAATAACGCAATTGCTGCTTGCTTTTCGACCGCAGGTGCACTCGTAGTGCAGTTGTTTCCCGGCTGTAACACACGCTACTGACATTTTCTCTAGGTATTGGTTGTAGAGGTGGGGAATACGTTCTACTTATTCCTAGGCTCGGCGCCGGTCAATATAAAAAATCCATATATATTTGGCTTTCTTACTCGGCCCGGGCCGGTGAGTTTTTTGCTTTTTGGGTTTCATTATATTCCACCAATATAATGAATGCATTGCTTTTTTATATCTGTTCTTTTACTTCACTTTAATACCCAACTTCACTTTTTTGTACTCGATCTCATTCAATCATTCCCTCTTTTAACCACACAAACACCCCTCCACCCCTCCCTCCAAGCCGGCACCGGCCCAACATTCCAACAACAACTCTCACCACACCCCTTAAACCACTCCTCATTCAAATCCATGAGATCAAACAAGTCGAGCTCCCGCCCCAGCCCCGTCCGCTCCCCCACACCCGCCCTCTCCAAATCCTTCTCAAACCTCCAAACCTCCTCATACCAACCAGCCCTCAACCCCGACCACCCCTCAACACAACAATCCAAACAAGCGCCCCTCTCCGCGCTCTCCTTCCCCCAGCGCACAAACGCATTATGGCAACGCCTACACACCCCCGCCCAGCCCTTCACCCCCTCCTCCACAGCCACCAGCCTCCTCTCCGCCGACAACCTTGTCCGCCGCGCATCACGCGGCCAACAGCAGCCCCAATTCCAGTTCCCGGCCCCGCGCCCCAAGTCTGGGTCCCAGAACGGGCCCTCGTCCCACGGCAGCAGGCAGTCGACGCAGGCGCGCGAGCCCCGCCGCTTCGAGAGCTTGTGCATGTCCGTGAAGCGGGTTGCGAGGCGCATGTGCGCGCACCATTTGCATGCCAGCCGGTTGAACCGCGCGGCCCAGGCGCTGTCTTCGGCCGCGGCGAGTGTGGCGTGGTTCCATTCTTGCGCGGGGATGATGCCCGTTGTCGTGCGGCATGTGGCTCGCAGGTGTGTCAGGCCTGGGAAGTCGAGGTGCGAGATTATGAGGTCGAGGAGCTCCTTGGGTAGGCGGAGAAGAGGTGGGAGAGCGGCGACATCGGCATCAGACATTATGGTGTGAGTATTCGGGGTTAAAGGTTGGTATGTGTATTAAGTATGTGGAGTTAAGGGTTGCTGTAGAAGTGAAGAAAGAGGGCGGGAGCCAGACAAGCTAGGCCCTGGGATTGGTTAGGATGGCAGGTGCTGTTCGTGCGGGGTGGTGAGTCTTATACAGATGGAATTGCTACTAACCTATGCGCATCTTCGACGGTTACCGGTAACAGTACTGCGGTGTTGATGCTAGTAGCGGTGACTCCATCAGACACTGCCACACCGCTACGCCACACCGCTACGCCATGTACCGCTACTCATACACGCACCATCCTTGACGGCAATCTTCAACAGCAATGACCACTCCACACGGCCTCCCGACGACAATGGCACATCTTAACACATCCGTGCCACCTCCAGCTCCATGCGTCGTCACGAAAGGACGGACCGGAAAGAGGACTGGACTTACGGGCGTGGTGGGTGGACAAACTCGGCAGCAGAAGAAGCTAAGAAAGTAAAAGGGAAACTGACTTTTGTGAACTCTTAGGTCTGCTACGCAAAACTACATCGATGCCATACGCCATTCAACGCATTAACATGCTCCGCCCTACTCAACCAAACTGTCATCTCTACTAGCAACCTGCGCTACTCTCTGTTCAATCTCCGCTTCGCGCCTCCACCACCCCTCCGTAGCAATCATCAAAGCTCTATTGATTAGTCGGCCAAAAAGCATGACCGCAATGGAGCCCTAAGCGACTACTTCATGGCTTAATAAAACAAGCAGTGAAAGCAAAAATCCACTGCAGGCAAGGAATGGACGACTGATCTGCACAACTATGTACAGCATAGGACACTGTGTGCAAAGCAGTGAAAGACAATCTGGTGTTCCGGTAGGCTCGTCGGTCCTCGGTCAAGGTGAGCTTTCCGTTGATTTCCAAAGAGTCGTTGGCTGTTGTTTGGTTTCAAGCGAGGATAGCTCATCTAAGCACCACTTAGGTCGTCTAGAGAGCGTAAGGGTTCAGAGACCGGATGGTCAGGCACCTGTGGAAATTGTTAACGATTTGCACAAATGAAGTTGGGGAGGGGTTAAACTTACGGCGGGCTCTTGGTGAGGTCAGTCTTCAGAATGACAGGCACACGGGTCATCTCGCGGACGTCCTGGATGTAGTTGCCGCCCTCCTCACGGAGAGAGAAGAGGTTGAGGTACTTCTCCTTGTTGCTAAGCTTCGCCTCGATGCCCTCGTTGGCGGTCTGGGAGATCTTGGGGTCAGACTTGGTGCGGTGAGGAGCGTGGCCAGAAGCCATGAGGCCAGTCCTCGTGGGCGAAGGAGGCATGCTCTGGGTGGGGCGGTCAGCGCCCTGGTTGAGCGAGACGCCAGAGGTCATGTCGGCGAGGTCAGAGACAGCGTCATCATCATCGTCGAACAGGGCATCAACGTCGTCAGCGGACATCGTGTTGGTGTCCATGTTGCGGCGAGCCGCCTCTTCCTTCTCCTTGGCCGCCTGCCTGGCAGCCTCCGCTTGAGCAGCGGCGGCAGCCGCGTTGTGACCACGGACAGAGCCGGCCTTGGGACGCTCGTCCTCAGGGATGTAGGTCGAAGAGGGAACACCCTTCTCCCAGTAGAGCTCGAGCAGGCGCTTGTTCTTGTCGAACTCGGCCTTCTTGAGAGGAAGCTGATCGCAGTGCACGCGCTTCTCGAAACCAAACTCGGGAATGAGGATGTCGAAAGCAGACTCGTAGACGCAGAGAACGATACCCTCGGAGATGAGGTCGCCGCCAATGTCCTGGCGCGTCCTGTCCATCTTGCGGCAAGACTCAATGTGGACACTCTGCTCCTGAGCACTGTGGGCAGAGTCCTTCTTGGTGTTGCACATCTCGGCAGTCTTGTTGAGGGACTCAACGTCCTCGGTGAACTCAATGGCACCGTTGGAAAGAGCAGCCTCAAGCTGGCGGTGGACAATGATGTCGGCATAGCGGCGAGACGGGTTGGTGAAGTGAGTGTAAAGCGGCAGGTTCAGAGCGTAGTGAGGCCACTGGTCCTCGGGCGTCTTGCCAGCGACAACATACTTCGCGCGGGGCATGGTCTTGACCAGGAGAGTCTCCATACCCTTGCGAATGCCCTCGTCATCAATCTGGAACAGGCTATTCTGAAGCGTTCCGCTGCTGGTAGTATCAATCTCGTAACCGATGGCGGTCATGCGGTCGGCAAAAGTCTGCAGACGGCGAGGGTTGGGAGAAGATTGACGGCGGAGCAGAGCCTTCTCACCAAGCTTGGCCTGAATCTGCTGGGCGACAAAGGCGTTCGCCTTGTGGCTGAGCTCCTCGATAAGCTCGTGGGCCGGAGAAGAGTGGAAAATGTTCTCCTCAACAGGGACATTCTCGTCGTCGAGCTGGTAGAGCAAGCGAAGAGGAGGAATGTCCGTAGAGCGGTTACCAAATCGAGAGCGGCGGAACAGCTGCGAGATGTTGTGCAACACCTTGATCTGGTCCTCCCTCTCGCCAAGGTCGGTAGGACGGCCACTGATGACAGAGTCGACTTCCTCGTAAGACAGCTTGCCGGAGCTCTTGATGATGGACTTGCCAATCCAAGTCTCATCCTCGAAGACATTACCGGTGGCAGGGTCGACCTTGAAGACGACAGAGACGGTGTAACGCTCCTCGCCAGGGCTCAGGCAGAGAATCTCAGAAGACAGTCTGGGAGGAAGCATGTTGACAGCACGGTTCATGAGGTAGACGGCAGTGCCACGCTTCTTAGCCTCGCGGTCAACCAGGGAGTTGGCCTTGATAAAATGGGCGACATCAGCAACGTGAATACCCATCTCAATGTTGCCATCGGGCAGCGTCTTGAAGTGGATAGCGTCATCCAGTTCCTTGCTACCGTTGGGGTCAATGGTGAAAGTCTGCTCCTCGCGGAAGTCACGGCGAGTCTCAAGGGCAGCCTCGCCATCATTGGCGACGGACCAATCATCGAAGCCGATGTTGCGGATGACCGCATCGGAGAAGTCATCAGGACCGAAGTTGTTGTCACGAAGGAGAGCATCAGTCTCAACCTTGAGGTCACCCATCTCGCCAAGCTGCTCAACAAGCGTACCGAAGGGGTGCAGAGACGTAATGGGCCAACGCTTGATGCAGGCAACGAAGATGCGGTTCGCATAGTCCTGGTGTCTCTCGACGAAGTCACGAGGAGCTTGCTCAGTCGGGATAGCAATCAGAGGAACACGCTTATCCGTAGGCTTGAACCAAACGATCTTGGGCTTGTCCTGTTGACGCTCAGGCTGAGGACGAGAACCACCCTCGCGGGCAGCACGCTCGGCCTCTTGCTTTTCCTTGGTAGCCTGGCTGCTAGGACGCAGAAGGCCGAGGGTACCAGAGAACATCTGACCAGCAACACGCTCAATGACGGCAACGACATGGCCGGCGTAAAGCGGCTTCTGGTCGTCATTGATTTCTTCCTCTTCCATCAGCAGCAAGCTCTGGCCCTCAACCTCGACATCATCGTTCTTCTTCTGAGTCGGGCGCTGTCTCAAGCTGCCGCGCCTCCGGATGCCGCCATCAGCGACACCGCTCTCAGGCTGGGTGGTGGCATCGTTGACAGCAATGCTGCCACCTCTGCTGTCGTTGTTGTCCTTGCGCTTCTTCTTCTCCTCCTTCTCGCGCTTCTGGCCCCAAACCTCGTCGACATCGAGAAGCTCAATGGCGACGAAGTCGCCCTCAAGAGCACGGTTCCTGTCCTTGCTACCGCAAATGAAGATGTCGGCATCCAGGTCGGTCGTGGTGACATAGGCATCACTGCGGTTCTTCTTGTTTACACGAAGAATACCAGCAACGAGTTGGCCGTCGCTGAGGAGAGCAGGGAGAGTAGCCTGAGGAAGGTAAGGAGTGAACAGCGTCTTGCGCTGTTGCTGCTGCTGTTGCTGCATGTTCATCGAAGGAGCGTGCTGGCTGCCCTGAAGACCCTGGATGCCCTGGCCGTTCATCTGCGCAGCCTGCAGAGCCTGCAATTGAGCGAGCTGAAGCGGGTTGAGGCCCTGGCCAAACATCTGAGGCTGAACCAAAACCTGGCCCTGAGGAAGCTGCAAGAACTGGGGCTGCGGGTTGTATTGGAAGTTACCGATGGAGCTAACAGACTGACTCATGGAAGCACGCTGGCGGTGGCCGGGCTGGAAAGGAGCGGCGCCGGTGGCCTGGTTCATGTTAAAGTTACCCATGTTGTTCGTCTGCTGCTGGTCCTGCAGAGACGGCTGGTTGTTTTGAGGCTGTCTCCAGTTACCCTCAAAGTTTCTAGACGAAGAGCGGGCGTGAGCAGAGCCACGGCGCTGGAACTCAGCGCCGGTGTTAGCGCCAGCATCGTTTCCAGATTGGGGAGGGAAGGTAAAGTTTCCGCCCCCACGGGGGCCGCCACGACCAACAGCCATGCTCTGGCTGCGACCGTGGCCGACGCCACGGCCCGCGGGTCTGCTGGCCTGCTCGTTGCTCTGGGTGCTGCCGGGGCTGGAGGACCGATCGGTGCTGCTAGAAGCACCGGACGCACCAGGGATAGGGAACTGGAAGCCAGAAGTCTTCCTCTTCTGCTCGGCGAGCTCGGCAGCCTTCTTGGCTTCTGGAAGGGCTAAAGAGTGGCGCCGGGCATGGCCACCACTAACGGAACCTCTGGCGCCTCCACGGGGGTTAACATTCTCACGCTGGTTTTGAAAGTCGCCAAAGCCGGAAGCTCCGGACGATGGAGCAGGAGGAGGGCCCATACCGACGTTCGGCATCGCTGATTGGTTGCGACGGTGTGTGTTTGGTTGAACTGGCGCATTCATGGGAACACCAAGGTGCTGCTGCTGCTGCTGCTGCTGCTGCTGTCCTTGCTGAGGGAAAGAAAATGCGTTGGGAGCCTGCATCTGACCCTGCATCTGGCCTTGCATCTGGCCCTGCATCTGGAAGCCCTGGCCAGTGAGGTGTTGCTGGGGCGGGATCATGCCCATGCTGACGTATTGCTGATGCGTGGCAGCAATTTGCTGCTGCTGCTGTTGGAGAGCTTCGATCTGTTGCGCGATGGCAAGTTGCTCCACTGGGGGAAGGGCGGCAGTCAGCAGCTGAAGGGAGCCAGGCAATGGCCGGCAAAAGCTTCGATGGGAGAGACCCCGCATTGAGGATACGTCACTTACTCATGAGGGGGGTGAGCTCCGAAGGGCTACGCCTGTGAGCAATGTGCAAACGGCGGCCGGCGGGCCCCATGGGGGCGCTGTTTCCTTGCGGATCCATGTCTTGGAGCAAAGGGTTGTCGGGACAAAATATGTTAAGGTAGGTGGCTCAAAGGCGGGTTGAGCGTTTGCAGATCGTGGTCAGGAGTGGCGGGACACTCGGTCCAGGCAGCGCACTGCAGAGCGTCAGATAAGACCAACGCAGGTAAGCGAGATGGACAACACGTACCGGATGGCTGAGTTGGGCGTGGAAAAGTCGAAGCTGACGGGGTCGCGAGGCCACGGAGCTTGGATATCGTCGGTGCGTGCAGTGGAGACCTGACGGTCGGCAAACGCGCTCAGACGGGGTTGAGAGAGTGAAGGCTGTGGAAGCCAACTCGGTCGCAAAAACGCCGCTTCAAAGTGACTGACGAAGAAGGGGGGTCGGTGGGTGGGGTTGCAAAGGATCGAGCTGCTGGTCAAGGAGGCCCAGCGACAGGCGCGGATGGAATGCGCCGCTTCCGCAGCGGAGTTCTGGGTCGGCGTGGACCGCGCGAGCGAGGCAGCGGTGGCGTGCAGAAGGTGCAGTGGGTAGAGAGAGGTAGAGAGAGAGTGAGACGGTGGTGGGAGAGAAGAAGAAGGAGGGGGGGAGGGATTGTGGGCGAGGTGCAGCACGCTAGGAGGGGCGGCAGAGAAAGAGGGTTTGATGGGAGATGCAGCAGCGAGCGAGAGCTTGATGAGGATGCAACCTGTTGCTGGAAGCGAGGCAAATCGTCACCGCGGCGAACAAGGACACGACTCAGCTCGCTCAGAGCCCGGTTGCACCGCGGCGCCTCAGGCATTATCCGCCCATGCTGCCTGCCACTCCCGCTTTGTGCGCCGCCTGGTCGCAAACGGTGTGAAGCTCTACCTAGTACCTCCGCCCGCCCTGACGCACCCTGCCATTGACACATCGTTCTTTGTGTGCATCCATCATGGAGTCCCCCTCCGCCAAAAGCCCCCCGCCCGAGCTGCTGGCTGAGGCCCGCCGGCGCATCGACACTGACTACCGCGACATGGATAGTCCCTCGCGCCAGCTGCTCTACGAGTTCAGCCGCATGCTCATCGACTCGGATCGCAGATTCCACGACCAGCTCGACCACGCCACTGCCGAGCAAGAACGCGCCCACCACGAGGCATTGGCCAAGGCCGCCGCTGAGCACGACCGCGTCCGCCAGAGCGCTGAACGCGTCGCCGAAAAATGTCGCCTCGAGCTCGAGCGCGAGAGGCGGCGGAGGGAAGAAGAATCACAACTCGAGGTCGAGCGCATGCGCCAGGAGAACGCGCGCATCGAGGCCGCCGAACACCAACGCAAGCTCGACGAGCTGCGCAGGGCAGAGGAGGAACAGCGGCAGGCTGCTGAGCGCGCCAAGGCTCTGCTCGAGGCCGAGGAACGGTTACGTGCGCAAAAGGCAGCAGAGGAGGCAGATGCTGCAAGGCGGGCAGCCGAACAGGCGGAGAGCGACCGCAAGGCCAAGGAGGCTGCTGAAGCCGCAGCAAAGGCCCGGGCAGAAGAAGCGGCCAGACGTCCTGCTGCTGCTCCTGCTGCTGCTGCTGCTGCTTCTACTCCAGCTCCAGCAATCAGCAATCTCTTAAATGGCACAACTACAACAGCCCCAGCCCAACCCGCCGCGCCCGCAAGCACAGTCGACTCGCCATTAGTGACGCCGCAGGCAGAAAAGGAAGCTACTCACACGGAATACCTCGCCCTTCACCAGCGCCTAAAGAAGTTCCGCAATGATTTCACCAAGGCAGCAAGATCCAATGCCGACCCCACGCTCAAGGATATGTCCTCCGACATGCGCCGCCAAATTCGCACCAAAGTCGGCCAGCTTACTCTGAACCCCAAGGAGAACCGAGTACCTGTAAGCCACCTCATATCGTTTGCACCTCCCATCTCAGCACCCGGTTAACAGTCCAATCCCCCATAGCTCAGCCAAATCCGGCAAATATTCTACAAGGCCCTGGAGACGCCGCACCTTGGCATGGTCGATGCACGGGAATACTTGATCAACCAAACACGGGCTCAAGTGCCCGACACACACGCTCAAGCACCCACGCTCCTCATTTTCCTCTTCTCGCACCTAGCCAAAACGCTCGTTGCCCAATTCGCCAGCGAAGCAGGCGTCAACCCCAAAGCCGCAGACCCAATTGGCATCATCGCGGTCAGCATCTTCGGCGACCGCAAGCTCTGCCTCGGCCCCAATCACGACGTGCCCTTTTCGGACATACTCCTGGCGAAATACCACCGCAGCTGCGGCGTGCTCTTCGGGATCTACGGGCCCGACCGCACGCAGCGCGGCCGCGCGCGCCTCGGCTGGCGCCAGGTCGACGGCGAGTGGATCACCGAGCAGGCGAACCTGGAGCGCATGACGGGGCTGGGCGCGGGCTGGGCCGCCCTCACGCTGCGCAACTTCCGCGGCAAAGAGGCCCTGCTGCACCCGTTCCCCAATGCAAACTTCTGGCGCGCCTTCTCCCGCATCGTCAACACGCCGCCCGCCGACGCGCAGCCCACGCACTTTATCGTCTTGAAGGCCATGCTCGAGGGCAAGAGCGTCGAGAAGTTCATTGGCGTCTACGGCAATGCTGCTGTAGCGGCGCTGCGCAAGGCGCTGTTTGATTTCCCGAGAGGCCAGGACAACACCGCGGCCAAGGCGTTGGGCGTCATGGCGCAGACGGTTAGAGACGAGATGCGCGTGCCGCTGTGATGACATGGAGGAGGGAGGATCTACGACGCGCTTGGAGCAGCCACCAGGCCACTCGCTCGCCATGATTCATGGGAGCGGCTGTTTTTTTGAGAGATTTTCTTTTTCTTTTTTTTTTTTTTTTTTCGCTCGCCATCGACGCTTATTCTCAATGTTAAAATAAAAGATCGCAGTTGGCCTTGTTGGCTATCGCGCTGGAGTTCATGGGATGTTAGGGATGGGATCGGAGGCCAGAGGCTGGATTGCGTATGGATAGGCCCGTATCTAGACACGAAGGGTCGTAGATCAAACAGTCACGTATGATATGAATGTGGAGAGCACGGAAATAAGATAGGGGATCGAGCTGTTCACGGTTTGATGCATGGTTGAAGTGAACATGAAATCTTGATTCATTGCTTTCGTACAGCTGGCTATGTGGTTCTGCCATAACCATTCGTCTCGCTCTGCTATCCGAGTCCTTCAATACCCCGCCTACTGATTGCGGGAATACCGGTTTAGCAGAGCATCGTTGTATCTGGATTATTTCATTGTCGCTGGCACTGACTGCAACATTAACCCCTCGGTCGGGATCGAGGCAGTTTCACAGTTCATCCAGATGTTTGCGCAGCAATGAGCGCAACCGCCGATGCCGCTTAGAGAGCCTTGCCCTTCCTCCTGTCAGACTCGCGGTTCTTGAAGGGGAAACCACTGGTCCTCTTGTCCGCGCCGGTCTTGCGGCTGATGCGGCCGTCACTGCTGGCGAACAGGATGCACCACATGCCGACAGCGAAGAGGACGCCGCTGAAGGCGGTGCCGAAGCCGAAGGAGCTGACAGTGGTCTCGGTCCACATGACGTAGCAGTAGAAGGAGACGGCCGCGTGGTAGGCGGTGGTGACGGTCAGGGTGGGCAGCGCGTAGGGCGCCTTAGGGTCTTGAGGGTCGGTGGTAGTACCGCCTGTGGCTGTTTAGAGGGAGACCTCTCAGTGAACGCGCAAACACAAAAAAGCATATAGCGGGGGAACAAGCTAGGCAGAATCGCACAGAGCTACGAGGGTTTCTTACCAGAGCTGAGTCGCGACGTCAATGGCACTGAGCCCGTGAGCAGCACGCACAGGACGCCTAGCGTGATGAGTGCCACTCCCAGGGAACGGGAAAAGTACACCTCGAGAGCTGCAGTGCTACGTTAGCCTTGCTCTGTGTTTTCTCGCTTCGTCCCGCGATCTTGTACTCACGTGTGGCATCGCGGACTTCGGGCGCCATCATCGCGACAATCATGCTCGGAGAGATGATGAGCGGCGCGGCCTGGAGGGCGAGCCAGCCGGCGGTGCCGTAGGTGTAGGAGTAGAAGACCTGTGTAGATCAATGGATCAGCGCGGAGCTCTCAAAGGACGACAGATGGGTATCCTTTGTGGGCGAACTTACATCCATGGCTGTTAGTGGTGCTGGAAAGTGATGATTGATGGAATTGAGAGCTCTTTGAGGATTTGGGAGGGGTTGTGTGGGGTTGCGAGACGATCACGGAAAGATGCTGCCTTTTAGATGAAGAATGCAAGGAAGCGCATGGATGAGGATGCTATGATGTCACGGCAGATCGACGCGGGTTCCTGGTGCCAAGCGCCGAAAGCCGAATGACGACCAGCCCCCCATGCTCTCTGCTCCACCCCCCGGTTCGTTCTCTGGCCGGGGGTCGTCGATAGCTATCACAGCTCTCTCCCACCTTGTAGCCATGGCAACTCCTCACCAACATTCTTGTGTCCCCCCAAAATGAAGCTGGAAAGGAGCTTTGAAGCTGCGTCCAACAAAAAGAGCATCGCTTTGGTAGCCTCTCTCATCGTCGTTGCTTTCTTTTGGAACCTGCCTGTCCTCAGCCGCACGTACTACAACCATTCTATAAGTGGGGGTGTATCGTTCAGCTCAAGCAAAGGCGATGTCAACTCATGGTGTTCCATTTCCGACCCTTCCGAGGGCGTCGTCAACGACGGGCTTGACTCGTCCTCCAAGTTCCTGGATCACTCCTCTCTTCTGAAACAAGTGGAGCGCATGAGCGCTGCAGTCAAGGTGCCGACTGAGAGCTGGGACGACAATGATGATGTTGATAAAGACCCACGTTGGGACGTCTTCGCCGATTTCCACTCGCTTCTCGAGCAACTCTTCCCACTCGTGTTAGTTAGTTTGCTTTCGTTTTAGTTTTTATCTCGTCCTGCTTCTGATCGTATCTCTGACAGTCAGCAGACATGAGGAACTCAATCTTGCAAAAGTGAACAAACATGGCCTGCTCTATACCTATCAAGGGACCTCTAAAGACCTCAAACCAATCCTCTTCACTGCGCACCAAGATGTTGTTCCCGGAACATCTCCTGAGAAGTGGACCTATCCTCCATTCGAAGGGCATTATGACGGCCAGTGGCTGTGGGGTCGAGGTTCAGTTGATTGCAAGAACAACCTTATCGGGTTATTATCTGTCATGGAAGACCTCTTATCGCAAGACTTCAAGCCAAAGCGTACCATTGTTTTCGCTTTTGGCTTCGATGAAGAGACGGGCGGTAAACGGGGCGCAAAGGCCCTGGGCATTGAGCTTCAGAGGTTATACGGCAATGACGGTATTGCCTTGCTCATCGACGAAGGTGGCATGGGTCTACAGACGGTCGGCAACTATGTCTACGCCCAACCTGGGGTAGGTGAAAAAGGCAAAATCAACATCATCCTTACCGTAGACGTCGCCGGAGGCCACAGCTCTATGCCTCCTCCGAACACCGGGATTGGGATAATGGCCAAGCTCATCAGTGAACTTGAGGCCCATCCCTACGAGCCTAGACTTACCCAGGAGAATCCGTTCCGCAACCTGCTTGAATGCCAGGTCAAGTATTCCCCGAACAAAGTCGAGCCATGGCTTGGAAGCGCGCTGGTAAAGAATGAAGATGAGTCGATTCTCGGATCACGCCTTGCAGAGAGTCGTCCCGAGGAGCGCTATACCTTCCAGACGTCGCAGGCCGTGGACGTCATTACTGGCGGCGAAAAAGTCAACGCACTACCTGAAAAGGTTGTCGCGATAGTGAACTACCGTGTTTCGGCGCACGATGGGATCGAAAAGGTCAAGCAGAATGCTATCAACCTGCTTCAGCCAATCGCTCACAGACACGGTCTCGTCGTGAACCCCTTTGGCCATAACGGGACCAAAACGGCTAAACTCAGTACCGGCAGCCTCACGTTGACGCTGGATCAACCCCTTGAGCCTGCCCCTGTCACTCTAACAGATCTCGATAACGGGGTATGGTCTCTTTTCAGTGGCACTATCCGGCAAGTCTTCGAGGACACACCGAGCCTCAAGGGCAAGACTGTTGTCCCTGTTGGTGGTATCATGACTGTAAGTGCCGTCACTTGTCTTTTCTTGGACAGAACTGACTTTTACATAGGGCAATACAGATACCCAGTGGTACTGGCCGCTCACGAAAAATATCTACCGTTTTGAGCCGTATAGAGAAGGCACAATGCTCAACTTACATACGGTCGATGAGAGGATCGACATGCTTACACATGTGGAGATCATGAGGTTCTATTACGAGCTCATTCGGAACTTCGATCAGGCTGTGGACTTGTGAAGGTATTCCCATGCAGACTTAGTTGTGGTTAGTTTGCGGTTGCATGATTAGCTTTTCATGAAGCTAAATACATTTGTTTTATGTCGCCACGGATAATTCACCCACCCGGTGATAACATGTTTATAAAAGTACAACTCACTCTTTACGTTCATATAGGTGTAAGGGCACGAACGGATCTGAAATCTCTTATACCCTTAGCTTTTATAATTCCTTACCCCTACACTGCAGCGCACATTTGCTACATATATTATGTCTTCAGTCTGGATTGTGCCAGTAATCAAGTTCCGCCAACCATCATGTTCATTGTACTATTGAAGCTTAGTAGAGCCGTCTGTACCAGGATATCAAGGGCAGTGATACGAAGAACGAAACTACTATATATTACATCAAATACTCAAGAAGCTCTAGCAACAAAAATCAATATCTGAGCAATCTGAAAGAACAAGCACGCTCAACAGGGATATCAAGCTCGCCATCAAACCAATCACACACAACACTACTCCCAAGCCCCTCCCTTCTCTTTCAGCTTTAACCAAGCATTCATGCCTACAATGCACCGCACAAGATCCCAATCGCCGCTCTGGCCCACCCAATCCAAAACCACAATGCCAGTAGAGCCATCACCATGATGATCGGTGGCATGATGCTTCGTGCACAAGTACTCCAAGACATGGGGATTCAACCTATGAGCAATCCTCTCAGGCCAGCACTGCTTGTTGAAGAAATTGCTGCCGGAAAGGAAGTTCAAATACAGCGGGTTCGGCGGCACGGGATTCACGACATCAGTGGTAATGCCCGGCAGCGGGGCGACGCACTCGGCCGCGCGCGCCATGTGCGCCTCGGCATAGATAGTTTTCTGGGGAATGGCGTCGGGCTTGAGGACCTCGCACCAGTCCTGGACGCGGACGCAGCCATGCACGTCGTCCGGGGTGTTGTAAGCCCAGTTCTCGGCATCGAGGCCCCAGCCCTCGCCGTTGTGCTCGCGCTTCAGGCTCTCGTCGATGACGAACCGCCGCATCAGCACCAGCTTGCCGCGCACCTCGCCCAGCATCGGGATCCGCGGCGACGTGTACCACAGCGCGGGGTCGGCGCAGTAGTGCTCGCGCAGGATGAGGCTGAGGTGCTGGTCCGTGGCGTTGCCCGCGCCCTCGCGCTTCAGGCTCACGATCACCGTCTCCGACGGGTTCTGCTCCAGAAAGCGGCGCGCGTCGTCCAGCAGGCCGCGCACGTGCTTGGTCCCCGTCAGCGAGACGGGGAAGACGCCGTGCACGAGGATCAGGCCGTCCTTGGACACGTCGTTGGCGTGCTCGGGCTGCACGCGGATGTCGAAGAAGCGCACGCCGTTGTCGAGCTGCTCGCGCGGCGACACGGCCTGGCAGCGCACGCTTGGCAGCGCCTTGTGGTACGTGGGCGTGTTGTGCGTGCCGGGGATGCTCAGCCCGCTCAGCGGCGTCGCGTCGCTGAGCTCGCGCATCCACCGCTGCGGCGCCGCGCTGCTCAGCACCGCCAGATGCGTGCTCTGCGGGAAGAATATCCCCGTGTACTCGAACTTGGGGTCCGGCACCAGCGGTGTGAATGTCTGCGACGCGCTCGTCGGCCCCGGCGTGTCGATGCGGTAGCGCTGGCCGTCGGCCTCGAAGGTCAGGCGCAGGAGGTCGTTGGGCGCGCGCTGGATGGGCGCGAGCGACACGCTCGCGCTCTGGAACGGCTCGATTCGAACGGAGACATCTGGAGCGCACACGAGCGAGTGTCAGTACCGCCGTGTCAAAGACATAAAAACCAAAGAGGAGGCAGACACACCTTGGTGCACAAAGTGCTGCGCGTGCTCCCCTAGCTTGCCGGCCGAGGGCGGGGGCGCAGAGCTCCAGGTAATGAGCTTCTTGCAACTGTAGGCCCAGCTCTTCTTGTGCGCGTCGGGCGACTCGTACAGCTCCACGACCTTGAGTTCCAGCGGCGTCGACGTGAGGTTCCGGATCGTGAGCGGTGGAGGCAGAGGCGCCATCACGGTGTTTGATTGTCAAGCGACGTCAGGGAAATGGAGCGTGCAGCAGCCCGCCGACAACGAACGACGCTGTCAACCTTTTCCAGCCTTGCCAGCCACTTTTGTTCTCTTTTTCCTTTTAGGATGGGCGTCATCGCCGCCGGTGTACTCGTACATGGCGCTCGGACGAGCTGGCACTCGCCCTTGGTCTGATTGGTGTTGGCTCCGCCTAATCCAGGCGCCTCTGGTCCCTGGATTCGCGTCAGACAGATCACGCTCACGCCAAGTGTTGATCGTACATAGGTAAGGCTACTGTCTGGACAATACCTACTAACTGTACGACATAAACTTCTTCCATCACTTGCCTCTGATATTACAAAATGTCTCTTACAAGAACACCATCTACCTCATCTCTCAACTCTTTTCTCACGGGGACGACTCTCCGAAACGACACCGACTCATCCTCATCCCCGTCCCCATCCCCGCATGAGCCCGCGTCACGAAACGCACCCCAACCACAACCGCAACAACAGCAGCAGCAACAACAACAACAACAACAACAACAACAACAACAACAACAACAACAACAACAACAACAACAACAACAACAACAACAACAACAACAACAACAACA